ATTCTGCGTTGAACCCATCTGGTCCTGGGCTTTTTTTGGAAGGGAGATTTTTGATAACAGTTTCTAGTTCTTCGCGACTAACAGGTCTATTTAGATCATTCACCTGGTCTTGGTTTAGCTTTGGTATATGGTACTTATCTAAAAAAATGTCCATTTCTTTTGCATTTTCCAGTTTTGTGGCATACAGGCTTTTATAGTAAGATCTAATGATTCTCTGGATTTCCTCTGTGTCTGTGGTTATGTCCCCCCTTTCATTTCTGATTTTATTTATTTGCGTGTTCTCTCTCTGTTGTTTAGTTAGTTTGGATAGGGGTTTGTCGATCTTGTTGATTTTCTCCAAGAACCAACTTTTTGTTTCATTGATTCTTTGGACTGTTTTCTGTGTTTCTATTTTGTTGATTTCTGCCCTCAGTTTGATTATTTCCAGTCTTCTACTCCTTCTGGGCACCTCTGCTTCTTTTTTTTCTAAAGCTTTCAGGTGTGCCATTAAGTCCCCAATGTATGCTTTCTCTGTTTTCTTTAAGTGGGCACTTAGTGCTATGAACTTTCCTCTTAGCACTGCTTTCATCGTGTCCCATAGGTTTGAGTATGTTGTCTCTTTATTTTCATTAAATTCAAGGAAGACTTTAATTTCTTTCTTAATTTCTTCCTTGACCCAGGTGTGGTTCAGTAGTTGACTGTTCAGTTTCCATGAGTTTGTCGGCTTTCTGGGGGTAGCATAGTTGTTGCCATCTAACTTTAATCCGTGGTGATCTGATAAGACACAGGTGGACACTGATATTCTTTTGTATCTGTGGAGGTTTCCTTTGTTTCCGAGTATATGGTCAATTTTTGAGAAGGTTCCATGAGCTGCAGAGAAGAAGGTATATTCTTTCCTATTTGGGTGGAGTGTTCTGTAGATGTCTGTTAAGTCCATTTGCTTCATTACCTCCAATAATTCTCTTAATTCTCTATTAGGTTTCTGTCTGATTGACCTGTCCATTGGAGAGAGAGGTGTGTTGAAGTCTCCTACTATTAGTGTGTGTGGTTTTATGTCTGCCTTGAGTTTTAGAAATATTTCTTTTACATAAGTGGGTGCTTTTATATTAGGGGCATAGATATTCAGGATTGAGATGTCATCCTGATGAATTGTTCCTGTTATGAGTATAAAGTGTCCATCTCGATCTCTTCTGATTGATTTTAGTTTGAAGTCAGTTTTGTTGGAAATTAGTATGGCCACACCTGCTTTTTTGTTAGGACCATTTGCTTGAAAGACCTTTTCCCAACCTTTTACTCTGAGTAGATGCCTGTCTTTGTGGTTGAGATGTGTTTCTTGCAAACAGCAGAATGTTGGATCCTGTTTTCGTATCCAATCCCTTAGCCTGTGCCTTTTTATAGGTGAATTGAGACCATTAATATTAAGTGATATTAGTGACCAGTGGTTGTTTACTCCGGTTATTCTTACTGTTTTCGGTAGTAGAGTTTGTGTGTGTCCCTTCTTTGAGTTGTACTGGTGAAGGTTCGCTAGATTCCTGAGTTATTGTAGTCAGTGTTGGCAATGTTGGATTCCTTGGGTTGCGATTTTCCTTCTATTACTTTCTGTAGCGCTGGATTTGTGGCTACGTATTGTTTAAATTTGTTCTTATCCTGGAATGTCTTGTTTTCTCCATTGATAGTGAATACTAGCTTGGCTGGGTATAGAAGTTTGGGTTTGCATCCATGGTCTCTTAGTTTTTGAAGAACCTCTATCCAGGACCTTCTGGCTTTCATGGTTTCCATAGAGAAGTCAGGTGTAAGTCTGATCGGTTTACCTTTATAAGTTACTTGGCCTTTTTCCTTTGCAGCTCTTAATATTCTTTCTTTAACCTGTATATTTTGTGTTTTGATTATTATATGGCGAGGGGATGCTTTTCTTTGATCCAGTCTGTTTGGTGTTCTGTATGCTTCTTGGATATTCAAAGGAATATCTTTCTTTATGTTGGGAAAGTTTTCTTCCATAATTTTGTTAAATATATTTTCTGGGCCTTTGAGCTGTAATTCTTCCCCTTCTTCTATTCCTATTATTCTCAGGTTTGGTCTTTTTATTGTGTCCCATATTTCCTGAATGTTTTGTGATGAGAATTTGTTGGCTTTGCTGTTTTCTTTGATCAGTGCGTTTATTTTCTCTATGGTGTCTTCAGAATCTGAGATTCTTTCTTCTATTTCTTGTATTCTATTGATTATGCTTGTTTCTGTAGGCTCTGCTCGTTGACCTAGATTTTCCGTATCCAGCTGGTCCCCAGTTTGTGCTTTCTTCCTTGCTTCCATTTCAGTTTTCAATTCTTGAACTGTTTCCATTACCTGTTTGTTCGTTTTTTCTTGGTTTCCCAGGGTCTCATGTACGTATTTACTTAATTCTTCAAACTTTTTGTTATACTTCTCATCCATTTCTATAAGGGTGTTTTTTACATGTTGTTTAAGGGACTCTATTGCTTTCATAAAGTCAATTTTTTTCCACTTCTTCTGTGTTAGGGTGTTCAAGTCCTTCTGTTGTAAGATCTTTGGGTTCTGATGTTTTCATGTTGTTTTTCAGATTATTGGGTGACTTTCTGCCTTGGCGCCTGCCCATCTCCTCCTATCAATGCTATCTAATCGGTCTTTTAAAATTGGATCAGGTTTCTCTGCTGGCCAGAGGCTTCTCTTACAAATTGCCCTAGCTCTGTTTCCTGGCTCCTGCCGGGGGCCAAGATCCCTCTCACCCCTCAGAAGGGTCTTCAGGAACAGGACCCGGCTCCCCGTTTGCCAGGGCCCTCGCCAACCAAAGGCCTACCTCTTTGATTTAATTGTAGTGGGGCGATCTGCTCTTGGTGTTGCGCGCTGGTCCCTGCCGCCTGCGTCCTCTGCCACCGCGCCAGTCCCTGCCCCGCCGGTCCTGGCCACAGCCTGCAGCCGCCTGCATTGCTCGTCTGTGGGCGCCTGCATCGCTCATCTGCGGGGCGATATCCTGGGTTTTTTATTTTTCCATATGAAATTGAGTATTGTTCTTTCAAGGTCTGTGAAGAAGTGTGTTGGGATTTTGATGGGGACTGCATTGAGTCTATAAATTACTTTTGGTAGGATTGTCATTTTTATTATGTTTATCCTACATATCCAAGAGCATGGGAGATGTTTCCATTTTCTGGTATCTTCTGTTACCCCAAGATATGTTATTATATTTCTGGCTATTGTGAAGGGTGATGTTTCTCTGATTCCTTTCTCAGATTCTTTATCATTTTTATATAGGAGCGCTACTGATTTTTTCATTTGATCTTGTATGCTGACACATTATTGAAGGTATTTTATCAGCTGTAAGAGTTCCCTGGTAGAGTTTTTTTGGGTCACTTATGTATACTATCATATCACCTGAAAATAGTGAAGGCATGACTTCTTCCTTTCCAATATGTATACCCTTGATCTTTTTCTGTTGTCTTGTTGTTGTAGATAAAACTTCAAGAACTATGTTGAATAGATATGGAGGGAGTGGACAGCCTTGACTTGTTTCTAATTTTAGTGGAATTGCTTTGAGTTTCTCTCCATTCAATTTGATGTTGGCTGTCAGGTTGCTGTGTATTTGCCTTATTATGTTTACATAATACATTATATATACAAGGTATATTATATTCCTTGTATCCCTGATCTCTGCAGGATGTTTATTATAAAGGAATGTTGGATTTTGTCGAATGTTTTTTCAGCATCTAATGAAATGATCATATTGTTTTTTTCTTTCAATTTATTTATATGGTGGATTACATTGACAGATTTTCATATGTTGAACCATCCCTGCATCTCTGGGATGAAGCTGACTTGATCATGATGGATGATTTTTTTTATGTGTTCTTGGATTCGGCTTGCAGTAATTTAATGAATATTTTTGCATCAATGTTTATGAGAGAGATTGGTCTGAAATTATCTTTCTTGGTTGAGTCTTTGTTTGGTTTTAGTAGTAGGGTAACTATAACCACATAAAAAAAGATTGGTAATATATAAAAGACAGAGGAAGACACCTACCAAGAAGGAGATCTTAGAGTTGGACATATGTACTGGGTTGTGATTAAACATCTGGGGGATGACTTGTGAAAATGCTTTTTAATTTTATTTTAAAAATCTACCTTTAAATATCAGTGATACTGAAAATGTGCCATCCCGTTTACCTGTGAATATTATCTTAAGTCTATTTTTTGTCATAAAAGCAAATTTGTGAGAGGCTTGGGAAGGTCACTTAACCAGTAAAGGGCCTTACACAAAAATATTAGGACCCAATTCAGTCTCCAGAATTCATATAAAAAACTGTAATAGTATATTCCTATAATACCAGTGCTGGAGAATCATAGGCAAGAAGACCCTTGAGGTTCTTGTTCCCAGGTCTAGTGGGATCAGTGAGCTCCTGGCTCAGTGCAAAAAAAAAAAAAATAAGTTGAACAGTAATTGAGGAAGACACCCAGCACTGCTCTACACACATGCAGGCACACACCCTTGCATATATGTACAGGCACACACACACAGAGAGACGTATACACACACACGCACACATAAAGTCTATCTTTACTGGTAAACTATGTAGTCATATAATTATTATTAGCATCACTACCATCCACTTTGTACTTCAACATATTTCCTCCTCGTGCTACTCACTGTCCCAGAAATAGGTATTTGTAGGAAAATTATTGTTTCAATTGTTGTGTGTTCACAACTTGCAGAAGAATGGCTTATGGAAATCAAGGTGTCAGCTATTGCAATATAACAGAAATGATTCTATCTTGTGGAAATAAATGTCTAGGAGTAAACTTACAATCCTAACTGTCCAGTTTGAGCATAAAGATCCCAGATCTGTGAAATTAACTGCCAACATTAGATGAGACAACATTCTTCTTCTTGATGAGTAAAAAAATGTCCCTAACATTCAGACGTTTGCGTAATTTTAGGACTAGGCTATAATTCATAAGCCTCAAAGTTATTATGTTTAATATTTAAAATGCTGTGTGTTTTCTTTTCATTTTGGGTAGATGAAAATGTCAACAGATTCTTTACAAATGAAGACCTAGAATTACAATTCTTGGATCGAAAAAGACGGAAAGGTGTGTGGCATATTTTAAATACATTTCAAATAAGAGTCATGTTTAATGATTTAAAAACTGTTTTAAATGTGAGTCACCTTTATTTGTGGCTTTATAGTTAAATCTCTCTCAGAGTGAATACTTTAGAGCTTAACTGACCAAGATTTAAGTTGACGGCGCTGCTGAGTGTTAAATCGCTACTGGTCCTTTGCGCCCTGCAGTTCTTGATGTCGCCGATCTACACGGCACTTAAAAGTTGTATTTGGAGTTTGAGAAATAGCTCAGTGGAAAGCTCTTGCCCTAAAGCACAAGGACCATAGAGCCCATGTAAAGCCAGATGGTGTAGCGTCTGTACTTGCAGGGAGAGAGAAGAGAATGCCCAGGAGTTTGCAAGCCAGCTAGCCCGAAGCAAACAGGGATGAACAAGAGAGCCCCTGCCCTGCCTCAGACAAAGTGGAAGGTGAGGACAACACCCAGGGCTGCCCTCTGACCTTCAAACACACCGTGGCATGCACATGTATTCATACACATGAACACACATAACATATATGAACTGTTCATAAACTCTCCCATTTGAATAAAAGGCTCTTTTTTTTTTTTGGTTTTTCGAGACAGGGTTTCTCTGTGGCTTTGGAGCCTGTCCTGGAACTAGCTCTGTAGACCAGGCTGGTCTCAAACTCACAGAGATCCGCCTGCCTCTGCCTCCCGAGTGCTGGGGATTAAAGGCGTGTGCCACCACCGCCCGGCTCTTTTTTCTTATTTGTATTAATATTTCATGAACTATCACTCTAAGAAATACTTTTCTAAGGACTGTGTAACTATCTCACATTTATTTCCACTTTTTAAAGTATATTCATCTCATATTCATATTTCAATTTCATCAGGTAACATTGTCTGCTAAATTGTATTAGCTATCGTCCAGGCAAAGTATTCTATTTTTGTATAATTTTGAAAGCTCTAAATACAAATGGCCACCTCCCTCTCACTCTATTTGTTAGATAGTAACACTCACTCTGAAATGATTGAGCCAGAAGAAACCCCACTCTTGTGAGTGGGATAAGTCTCTTGAGAAACGGTGTCAGGGAATACCTCCTTACTTTTCTCTTGTGCCATGTTAAGCTACAGGAGGCAGCACCCGTAGGCTGCAGTGCTGCACTATCTAGTGTCCCTAGTGGCAGGTGCTGAAGCACACAGTGCTGTTTCAGTGAGCCTCGGGGGACTAGAGACACAGAGAGAGAGCACATTGCAAGGCGTCATCTTCTTGGAGATCATCCAAGTGTCCATGACTAGACTAGAACATTGCAGGCAGATGGGGAATAAGGGTCATGCTGACAAGAGTGAAGCACCTCTTCACACATCCCATCTTCCTCTTCACACATCCCATCTTCCTCTTTACACATCCCATCTTCCTCTTCCCACATCCCATCTTCCTCTTCACACATCCCATCTTCCTCTTCACACATCCCATCTTCCTCTTCACACATCCCATCTTCCTCTTCACACATCCCATCTTCCTCTTCACACATCCCATCTTCCTCTTCACACATCCCATCTTCCTCTTCACACATCCCATCTTCCTCTTCACACATCCCATCTTCCTCTTCACACATCCCATCTTCCTCTTCACACATCCCATCTTCCTCTTCACACATCCCATCTTCCTCTTCACACATCCCATCTTCCTCTTCACACATCCCATCTTCCTCTTCACACATCCCATCTTCCTCTTCACACATCCCATCTTCCTCTTCACACATCCCATCTTCCTCTTCACACATCCCATCTTCCTCTTCACACATCCCATCTTCCTCTTCACACATCCCATCTTCCTCTTCACACATCCCATCTTCCTCTTCACACATCCCATCTTCCTCTTCACACATCCCATCTTCCTCTCCATGCTGCCAATCGCTACCAAATCCATGTCCCGCACATTACATGCTCGGTCCGCTGCACATTTGAGCTGTGACCTGCAGAACAGATTATGAAATATAAGGGAATCAGTCCATCCCAAGTTTCTACATTCCCTAATGAAGAACCTTTTTACAACATGTATAATCTTTCTAAGCTCCACTGGCTTGGTCTGGTCGGGGCTTAAATGCTATTCATGGGCTTTGAGGATCAAGGGAGATCATCTCTGGGACTGCCGAAATACCCCAGCAAGTAAAGTGCTTGCTGTCCAAATATGAGGACTTGAGTTCAGATCCCTAGAACCCTCCTAAAATGTTGGCCATGGAATCCAGCAAGATGGCTCAGATGGTAAAGGTACTTACTGCCAAGCCTGATGACCTGAGTTCAAACCCTAGAACCCAAACTGAGGGAGAATAAACTGACTCCCCTGTACACTCCCACTGTGATATACATGTGTGTGCCTTCCTGCATACATACAAACACACACGCACACATAAATGAATGGATAGATAGATATGGAATGATAGATAGATAGATAGATAGATAGATAGATAGATAGATAGATAGATAGATAGATAGAATTTAAAAATATTTCAGTTGAGCATGGCAGCTCATGTCCGTTCCCCAGGGCTGGAGGGAGTGCAGACAGGCAGGTCTCTGGGTCCCAAGCGGCAGCCATTCAAGATGAATCAGCAAGCCTCTGGTTCAGTGACAGAATCACTTCTCAACAAATAGGGAGTGATAGAAGCCACCTGACACCAACACGCATACACGCACATGAGTGTGTACCGATGTCCATCCCTCTCACACACAAACACTGATAGTAGCTGCAAGCGTCAGCAGGATAACTGTTGTATAGTATATATTTCATAAGCTTTTATAAATTGATGACTTAGGGCTAGAGAGACGGCTCCGTGCCTAAGAGCACTTTCTGCTTCTCAGAATTGAGTTCCCAGCCCTTTTGCTCACAGCAGCCTTTAACTCCAGTTCCTAGGGCTCCAAAGAACACATCTCACCTCTGTGGGCACCAGCACTCACATGACCCTCACACATACAGATGCACACACTTAACGCACATAACATACACACACATCAATAAAAGTAAATCTTGAAATACTGACACCTTTTTCTTCAGCTAATGTCAGATTGTGAAGAAATAAAGTTGAGCGATTGTAACGTGTGCTGTCTCTAAGGAGTCCCATTGTAGACGGTAGCTCTATTCAGGAAATAACCAGGCTAGCTACAAGGTACAGCAATTTATTTTAATTTAGTATAAGGGAAAAACTCACGAAACAGGAACGAGAAGTCTGAGCTCAGCTGTGCTGCGTGGGAACCACAGTGAGAGGGCACCTGGGTCATGTGCCCGTTTTTTTTCCCCTCTGGGTGCCAGAAAGCCCCACCCTAACTCAGCCCCACCTCTTCAAGATAATTGGTTAACAAGTCCTCCCCATCATCCTGTCAAGTGATTCAACTTTGCCTCAAAATGTTGATGGGCAATGAACTGATCTGGAGTCTGTCTTCATTACAGCTGAGACCAAGTCCATCACAGACGTTCAGGAGTCATCCGAACCACCAACAACACTAAACCCAATGATTAGTGAGATCATATTTCGCCTGGATATGGACAGAGTGATTGGTAAGTACACGTTTATGATTTGACACTACGGAACACAGTCCAATCGGTACGGTGTTTCAACTTTGCATTTTGTGACTTTCTAGTTAAAAAAAAGAAAGAAAGTTTAAACAAGAGCTACCCTTTCTCAATAATAAACTAGCTCTAATAACCCTACGTATTAGTATTTTTACATTATGTATCATTTGTTCCGTCAAATAACCAATCATGTGATGTATAGTGTATTCACCCTTGCCTGCTCAGGAAGTGATAGGTAGTGTTTTCTGCCCATTGCAAGCTTCTGGAATATTAATCACATGCTGTATGGCAGGTTCTTTCAGAACATAGTTATCAAATTCTATATAGCCTAATGAGTGCAAGCAATATGATGAGCTTAGAGTGTGCTTGTCACTCAAGTGGGAAATTTAGATAGTAGAAAAGATTGTCAAAATACATCAGAATTTAGGATGTTGCTGATAATGGCATCCTTCAAACCGCAATCCCGAAAGAAACCAGCAAACTTCAACAAAATGGCAGGCCAACAACATCCAAGCTGTCTTTCCCAAACAGAGGGAGAAAGCCACATTCAATAGGGAAAGGAAGTTTTATGGAATTCAAGGCATTATCAGCAGACACACCCTTTACTAAGTGCTAAAGGGTGCCCTCTTTAGTTAAAACAAAGAGCTGCCAGGCAGTAACTGAACCACAGGAAAAAGAAAGATCTCCGGGGCTGTTGTAATTTTTAGTTGTAGTATTTGTTTTTATATCTAATGTTTTAAAGGCCCCCCAAATAAGTCTGGGTTAAAACCGGTCTCGCTGAACATAGTGGACAATGAGGACTCCTGAGACCTCAAGAACAATGGCAATGGGTTTTTGATCCTACTGCACGTGGGAGCCTAGGCAGTTTGGATGCTCACCTTACTAGACCTGGATGGAGGTGGGTGGTCCTTGGACTTCCCACAAGGCAGGGAACCCTGATTGCTCTNGAGGCGGCGGTGGGGAAGAGACAGAAATCTTTAACAAATAAATAAAAAAATAAAAGGCCCCCAAACAATGGGATTTTAGTAATTGCATGAAAAAATAATTCAAAATAGTAGCAAAGAAATTTGAACACATACACCTAGACAATTCAAAGGACTTGGGAAAACAATTCATGCTCTAACTGAGAAAAGCAACACAGACAGGTAATCATAAAGTAGAATTAGACATCTTAGAGATGGAGAATTCAATGAACAAAAATATAATTTAGAGTACAGAATATAGTAAGCATTAACTCTGCAAATAACCTATTACAACGGTCTCTATATATGGATAATAGTTGCACAGAAAACTACAAAATATTAATAAAAGTAGTCTTAAAAAGCTTAAAGAAATGGAAGCACATTACAGGTTTATAAATTGAAAATGGGTTTTTTTTTAAACTCATTTCCTTAAAATTTATCTATGGACTCAATGCAAATTACAACTAAGATTTTAAGCACATTTTTACTGAAAATTAATACATTAACTATAAAGCTTATGTAGAAGACCATAGGCTGAAGAGACCACCCTGATAAAGAAAAACAAAAACAAATTCACAGAATATACAATGCCATATGAGGTGTCTTTGTAACCAGATTTCTAGGATAAAATCCTCAGCTTCAGCAGCCCCAACAGGCTAGGATGGTTAAAGAGTTAAGTAGTAGTGGAAAAAAACAAACAGAGAAGGGAGATCTAATCAACACACTGGGGAAGGGGATGAACAAACTTCCTTTGGTTTAAATAGAGAGCCTCTGGCAGGGGTAGCACACAGCTTTAATCCCATCACTTGGCGGGGGGGGCAGAGGTGGGGGATCTCATCTCTGTGAATTCCAGGCCAGTCTGGTCTACAAGAGCTAGGTTCAAGACAATCTCGATAGCTACAGCAAAACCCTATCTCAAAAAAAAAAAAAAAAAGAACTAAAAAATGTCAAAAACAAAGGCTCTTGCAGAACACAAATGTTGTGTATTGTATGCTTTCATGAGTCATTTCCTTTAAAAGGGAGAAGCTTCATAAAGAAATATAATAGTACACAGGAGATGGAAGTAGGAGAGAGGAGAGAGGGGAGAAAGAGAGGGGAGTGGAGAAAAATATATAGTTCAATAAAAACAATAAAAATGAAGAAAAAAAAGCAACCAGAATGAGAAAGGTCATCAGGGCACAGGGCAGCAGAACAGGCCTTTGTGTGCATGGCTGCTGGTGTTGGAAGAGTTGGAAAGATCTTAGCAGTGTGTGTCAGAAACATTACCACAATTAAAAGGGAAAACACTTTATGCACAAGGATCCAATTGTACTCACTGTGAACTTCCATAGCCACCCATGTGTAGTTATATACAACTGCTGCCTGCAATAGTTACAACGTCACCAACGTAGAACATCGCATGATGACGTTTGTCTGTTTTCAGTTGACGCATAATTGAACATGCTCTTGGGGTATCCTGTGACATTTCCATGTGTGTAGATGCTCTGTAATGACCAGAGTAGCTGTCAGACATGGTGCCTCACAGTTATCCTTCCTCTATGACACAAATGCTCAGGGTCCCCTTTTAGATATCAACTGCATAATATATTATTGTCATCACTGCTGTGCCCGGGAATGCTAGGCTTCCTTCTCCCAACCGCAGGTTTAGTATCTGTGACCTAGGATTCATTTGTGAGCTAAAGTATTCTTATAAGAACGTAGTTTACACTGTTGGATTTACAGTGTGATTAGAAACGAATTTAAGCAGTTCAGACTTGCTCGCTATTGACAGGAGTGAAACAGGAAACTAGCGAAGCTCTCCCAACTTGAGACGATGTCTTGCAGTGTGGTGAATGAAGGCTCAGTGTTGTGTGGGAAGCGGGAGGTGTTGGCCAGTGTTTCCTGACGGACTGCATGCCATTCTGGGCAATAATGTTGGCATGATCTGAGCCAGCCAGGAGGAAGTAGGGTGATTAGAAGTTTGAGATTCTTGGTTAAACTGAAGACTTGGTTAAACTGGGCACCAGGAACCTTAAAAAGTAATCTCACACTAAAGTAGGCTCCCCCACCCCCACTCTGTTTGGGATTAAGATTTGAGAAGTGAACAGAGACAGACGTGAAGAGGTCTGTTGAATGACACACTGTACTGGAACACTGAAGACCTGCCGCGGATGTAAATTCCAAGTCTTGTTATACTTTTTTTAAGATTGTGAAATTATCAAAACCACATGAATCAAGTTTTAATACACTGTCTGGGTGGATGAGGCCCATTGCACCGCTTCTTTCTTTGAGTTCTCAGGCATGGCTAAACAGAGTAAGAAGTCTGTAACTTTAATATTGAATAAAAAGTTTAAAAAAAACTAATTTAAACAAGGCTCATTTTAAAAACACTGGAAGAAAACATACTATACTTTAATGAGTTTTGTCTGTGTGTAACTAAGGTATAATGTTTCCACTAAATTTTTATTAATTAAAGAAGAAATGGCGTTTTGTGACCCAAAGATTTGTTTTCAGAATAATTTCATCATTGGCACTCAGAATAAAATGGGAGTTATGGAAAAAAATATGATAGTGTAGAATATTTATACGTGCGAAGTGTAAAAATGTGCATAAAATAGGAAAGAGGGAGGGGGCCGTGGCTGAACATTCACATTGCCTCCTGGGTGTGAGGAGGCACCAGTCTGAGGTGGCTTCTAAAGTTGCCCATGGATTTAACACTTACTTGTGGATTCAGTTGACTCTGTGGCCAATCTAGATCATCACCGTTCACCTACAAATCTCCTTTCCAGCAAGCTCCGTAGTAAATTTTGAGAGGAGATATCTCTGTGGCAAATGTTAGTTAAAGAACTCTGAGGCACCGGTTCATGGAAGAATTACATTATTACCTGGATGTGTGTTTTGGGAACAAAGATCTTGAACTTCAATGCATGGAGGCTTATATGTGTGCACATAGGTCTTCCTGTTCCAAAGTTACATGATGTGACAGTCCAGAGTTCATCATTATCAAAGTCTAATAAAGTTAATATCACACATACACAGAAATTTTACAGTTCTATCTTGAAACTGCCTTACCAAATGTCTTTGAAATCCATCATTTCTACAGAGAATGACCTAGAAAACATGAAGAAGACCTTTGAACAACATTTATTAAAAAGTGAATTCAAGGCACTCTCCAAGACTGGACTTGGTAAGAAAACTTAAGTTTAATACTTTTCATCATTGTTTTCATTAATGTGTACCTTTAATGACAAAACTTTTATTATTGTGACATGGATAACAATCTGCACACTCTCTTATTTCTTTGTAGACCAGGTATTTATTAAAAATTGAAAGTTAGCTAGATAGCATTTCATTTAGAACTGCTATCCATTTAGGAAATGATCCATCAAAATCCATCACAGTTTTAGCAAGCATAGAAGATTACAGAAACAGGTGTGTAGTGTTATCCCTATCACATTCTACGTCCAGTTAGGTGGTAAGGTGCTTTGACTCTGTAAGGGACAACACTGACTCATAGATTGATAAAAATTAAAAAAAGATAGGCTTAGCAGTTATTTATACTAGGTGACAATCTCTTCTCTGGGAAAAGGAAGAGGGCAGGGGAAAAGGGAGTAGAAGAAAAAGTGATGGGTGAATATAACCTACATACATTAGTACTTGGACAAAAATTCCATTATGAATCCCTTCACTCTTTACAATAAATACATAACAATAAAGATGTCTAAGTTGTAGCCAGTTCTCCATCCTGCGTCAGGATCAGGAAACATTCTTCAGCTTTCCGTACATGTCCTGCTTCAATCAGCTTTTACACAAAACGTTTGGGTGTGATAGGTCTCCCAGTTAATGTTTAACTACCATACGCAAAGTAGAAGTTTTCTAACATGCTTCATTTTAGAGTCTGTTTGTTTGTTTGCCTTTGGTGATGCATCTAGACATTCATTTCTAAATACAAGAAAAAGCATAAATCACAAAACATTGAATGGAAAAAACCTGCAATCTTAATCCCAAAGCTTCTTTAAATTCTTGTCTTGTTCTCTCACTGAGGTACTAAATCTCCCTCGGAAAATGATGTAGAAAGGCTTTTGTTCCTTGGCGTTGCTGGTTATTGCTTTCCATCACTAGCACCTATTAGATTTAGAGTTATAGAACAGGAAAACCATGGAAACACCTCTGGATGAACTGAAGAATGACTGCTGAGTGTGTGTGTGTTAATGATCACTGTGGCCGGCAACAAGAAGAATATTATTGATTATTGTTTTATTGGCTACTCATACCCCTCTTTTCTCCGAGAGAACACTTTCTCTTGTGGGCATTGTTGTGGCTTGGTGCAGTTACATAACCTAAGGAGAGCTAAAATATTCTTCTACCAGGAATCTTCCATGACTCTTAATATTAGAGATTGGATGTTTTTTCTCATATGTGGAATCTCAGGGTGGGAAAATCGTGAAACTAATGCAGAGAAGAAAAAGAAAGGACACGGTGGTATTTAGAAAGGGTAATAAGAGAATATGATGAAAATGTTGGGTGCATGGATAAGAATTTCATAGCCAAGCCCATTGTTTTATATAACTAGTATATGCTATACATTTATTTGTATTTGTTTTGTTTTAAATACTATGAATTTGAATTTTTAAGAGGGAGTCCAATGCCCTGGAGCTATAGTTACAGGCAGTTGTGAGCTGCACAGCATGGGTGATTGAGAACCAGACAGCAGTCTTACATAAAAAACATCAAGGTCTTTTAACTATGGAACAGTCTTTCCACCTTCTGATTATTATTATTTCATAATAAATATTAAATAATTTTACTATGCGTGTATGCAAACAACAGAGAGATAGAGAAGAGAGCTGGATGCTACAGTTTGTCTTTCAAAGTATCTTACAAATCAGTTTCATTTTACAGAGATGAAAAGCATACTTTCAAGACCCAAACCAAAGGAGCCAGTGAAAACGGGATGGCGTAAGCAGGGTAAGAAGAGCTATTTTTCTTTTCAAGTCTAATGGGTATGTTTATTAGCTCCCCTAGACTTAAATGCTCTACCCTTAAGTTACCAACTGGCCACATCACATCCCAGTGGGAGGAAGAAATCAACAATAGATGCATGCATGCTAGTCCTTAGCTGGCTGTTTCAGCTCTTAGACAGTCCTGGGTCTCCTGGACTCGGGAGCGGTATGACCCATCATGGTCAGGTCTTCCCACTTGAGTTAACTCAGTTTCTATAAGCAGCAGAGGCATTCCCAGAAGAAGATCTTCCGGGTGACTCTAGAGTATGTCAAGCTGACAGTGAGCACCTGCTGTCCCCGTAATCCATATCCACAAAGTCTCTCCTGTAACTGGCACTCTTGTGTCTACCATTAATGGAGCGTTAGCTAATGCTACTAGCTTGAAACTGATCCAAAGTCTAGTTGGGGAGGAGCGCCAGTATACAAGCAGAGAGCTCCCGCTGAAGCAAGCCTCCTCGAGTCCCTGCCTTTTCTTTGAATGTCACCACCAGTACCAGAAAGGACTCACCCTGTGAACTCGTGGAGCCTTAGCAATCTTCTCAGAGACCTTGGCTCCAGACATACCTTATGTGAATCACAGGGACATATTGCAGTTCATAGCAATGTCTCATCCTATAGAGGGTGTCAATGATAGCAAAAGGGCTGGGGAAGGACGTAAGGCTGGGGAAAAACTGATCAGAGCACTGGCTCTGAAATGTAAGCAAGAGTGAAAAAAGGTGCAAGTGGGTAACATGAAAAGGGACAGGAACAGAAAAGGAGCAGGAAGGTAGTCGAAGAAATCACAGTTCATTTTTTAAACTATTTGATGGCTATGAATGTCCGCACCCAAATTAAGAGACTGTAATGAAATAAGCACCACGAAATCCATCGCCATATCCACTGTATTCACACTGTGAAAAGCAGGCCGGGCGGTGGTGGCGCACGCCTTTATTCCCAGCACTCGGGAGGCAGAGGCAGGTGGATCTCGGTGAGTTTGAGGCCAGCCTGGTCTACAAGAGCTAGTTCTAGGACAGGCCCCAAAACAACACAGAGAAACCCTGTCTCAAAAAACAAAAAACAAAAAAAAAATGGTGAAAAGCAAATCTTAGTGGGAAAAGATATAACTCTTCATTAAAAAGAAAGACCCTGAGATTATCAGAAATTACAAATCTCGAAAGCACTGGGCATATACATTCAAAATACTAGGAGAAGAAATTCACCCAGGAATCTCACAGTGAGCAAAACTATCTTTTGAAAATGAAGATGGGATATCAACAAAGCAAAATTTTAGACAGTTTGTGTTGGTAAACACCTGCTTTAAAAAAGCTCTTCTGGGTGAGACTTGGCGGTCTCACACAGTAATTAATATCACCCAAAAGGAACATAACTAGAAATAATTTTATAATTACAAGACATTGGGTACATTCATTGCATCCCTTTTGTGTTACTAATTTGACACATTATCAATCTGTCCTTGGGCCTATATGATGGTGGAACTGTAGCACAAATATTGTAGCGAAACACACTCTTCTGCAAAAATAGCACATACTAATCAAACACTAAAAGAGAAATAGAGTAATTTCCTAGTGCAGCACAGAGGAGAAGGGTGAGAACGATGCTGTATTCACGTAAGAAAATGATACCGGCTGTTAACTCAGGTTCACGGGAACAAATTCAAAGAACCAAGTCATTCAACCAAAAGTGTTGCTGTAAGAAACACTATAAATACATAGCTACTCCTTTCTTCTTTCAGCTTTTTTTCATAGGCATAGCATGACTTAAATATTATGACGTTGGCACAGTCTCTGTAATATGGAGCTGTATTTCATGTAGCAGTAGGTGCAGAACTGTTAAGAGACATGGGACACACAGACGAGTCTCGTTTTCATATGTGGGCTAGTGTTACCCACCCTTCATTCTCTGTTAATGTTCTCTGGAACCATGCACACAGACATATTCAGAGGTGTGTCTCTTAAGGGATTCTAGATCAAATTTTCATTTGATGTTCAAAATTAACCATCACCCTAATGCCCATGAAGCATTGTATCAGCAGAATTGGGAATGTACATTCATTTTTTTCTGTTGCATAGTATTCTGAAGTGTGTTTTGTGTCTTTAGATGACAACCTAAATATTATTAAAGGAACAAAACTACTAGGGACACCGACTGACCAACACAGTAAGAATAATTTTTCAAGCCATATGTTGATGATTTACGTTCTAACCTATACTAACAGTAACTGCGTCATTGCATAAGCAACACTTTTTGTGGATTCTCTCTTACAAAGAAATTCTAGTGCTCATTATCAGTAGGCATAAGATAAATAATATGAATATTGAAATAACCTATCCAAACCCAGTGCCCATCAATCTTGGAGCATCTCAGGGTGGCGGGGGGAATCACTGATGCTGTTTCTCTCACTTTCCATTTCTGGCTTAGAGTTAAAACATCATATTGCCCTTGAAAGAGCAGGAAGTCCTTCTGGTGAGTGTTCCCAGAAGAGGACTACGATGCGCAGGCCCCTCACTGCACCTCCTTTCACCAGACTAAGTTGGTGAGAGGGGATGGTGCAGCCCTGCAGTGGATTTTTTTCTCACTAGGCTGTATGGGTCACAGATCATTGGTCTTGAATGGTGTTAGACACACTTCTCCTTTATCCAAGAAAGGCTTCAGCTATGAACAGATTTTCAGAGTTGGTTCTGATCAGTGACCTCAGGGACACTGGAATTAATGAGCTATTTTCTCAGTGTTTTCATTTAGATATGGTTGCTTTGGGTGATTCTTACTAATTAGATCCTTCCCACGTTAGAATGTCAACCTTAGCCAAACCGTAAAATGCTCCATTTAAGTCTAGACAATTTCAACTATATATCTTTTCTATCAGTTCTTTGTCTGATACCTGCCAAAAACACCCTACAGAAGTAACTTGCAAAAGGGGGTTTACTTAGGTTACAGTTCAAGGAGAAATATTACATCATGACAAAGAAGGAATAACACCAAAGGTGAGAGGCCACTGATCACATGACAAGGAAGGCATAGCACCAAAGGTGAGGGGCCACTGATCACATTGAATCTACATTCAAGAAGCAGAGAGTAAAGAGAAAAATAGGTCTAGGCCATACATCCTCAAGACCCATCCTCAGGGACTCATTTAACCCAGTGAGTCTCTACTTCCTGAATATTCCACAGCTCCCAAAAGAGCACCACCAGCTAGGGACCAAGTGTTCAAACACATGAGCCTGTGGGGACACTGCACCTTCAAATCACATTTGTTCAGACCATATTTATGATCAATTTATAGGCACGTGTTAGTGGTTAGAGTATAATAAAATCAATCCAAATTAAAAATTTTAAAAGTAAAGGCCGGGCGGTGGTGGCGCACGCCTTTAATCCCAGCACTTGGGAGGCAGAGACAGGCGGATCTCTGGGAGTTCGAGGCCAGCCTGGTCTACAAGAGCTAGTTCCGGGACAGGCACCAAAGCTACAGAGAAACCCTGTCTCAANTGGATGCTCACCTTACTAGACCTGGATGGAGGTGGGTGTTCCTTGGACTTCCCACAGGGCAGGGAACCCTGATTGCTCTTTGGGCTGACGAGGGAGGGGGAGGGAAATGGGAGGAGGTGAGGAGGTGAAAATTTTTAATAATAATAATAAAAATGAAAGAAAAAAAAGAAAAGTGTAATTTAAAAAAAGATTAATGAAGATGCCACTGTAGGATAACATGACAAGATACTTCATAGAAATTGGAATAAAAGGTGAAAGATTTATACAATCTGAAGAGGAACCAGAGTATGACCCGGCAGTGGTGGCCCACGCCTTTAATCCTAGTACTAATCCTAGGCAGAGGCAGGCAGGTCTCTGACTCTGTGAATTCAAGGCCAGCCTGGTCTACAAAGACAGAGAAACTCTGTCTCAAAAAAACAAAAAAGAAAAAATGAAAAGAAGGAAGGAAGGAAAAGAAAGAAAGAAAGAAAGAAAGAAAGAAAGAAAGAAAGAAAGAAATTGGAGTAACAGACAAGAGACCACTCATATGAAAAAAAGTCTTACAAGTAAAGATCAGCACAGAGAGCTTAATGTGTATATACAATTCTGTAATATCATTGGGTGACTTTCTGACATTTGTTTTAGATATGAGTTTATCTCCGACGAAAGGTATTACTCCAGGTAAGTTCCCCCATGGACAATCAAGGTAAAGAAAATATATGAACATGTAAGGTAAGTGGTTGCTTCCAAGAATTGTCATACTGGGCCAGGCGGTGGTGGCGCACGCCTTTAATCCCAGCACTTGGGAGGCAGAGGCAGGCGGATCTCTGGGAGTTCGAGACCAGCCTGGTCTACAGGAGCTAGTACCAGGACAGGCTCCAAAACCACAGAGAAACCCTGTCTAGAAAAATGTAAAAAAAAAAAAAAAAAGAATTGTCATACTGTGCAGTTTTTATTTACTCCAATGAAATACTTAAAAATGAGAGAGAGGGAGAGAGAGAGAGAGAGAGAGAGAGAGGGAGATTGTATGATCTTAGGCTGGATGGTCTAGATACAATAGAAACATATTTCTCATGGGGGTACTACTTCTTGGTTCAGAAATTCTACTCTTTCTGTATCCTCAAGGGCTAGAAGGAGCAAGCAGAGCTCAGGGGCCTCACAATAACACTAACAGCGATCATGACTTGACAAAGAATGTATCCGGTACCATCACAAGATGATTCTGTGTCAGGGTGCAGATAGCGGACCCAAACATTCAGAGCACAGCAAAGATGCATGTTAACAATACACAGACGGTGTCCATTCTACACCGTCGCCGTCTCACTCTGGTTTCTTAGATGTTGTCATATGCAGTGGTAGGATTTATATCGTGATGTTTTATACAAGTACTTTCTAGAAATTTCACCACAGCTTTTTGTTTTCTTTCCCATTAATTGGTGAATTTCTTAGATCCTCTTTTTATGAAATCATATTTAACTTTTAAAACATGCCCTACCCACATGAATCTTTCTTAAAATACTTTCTTAAAAAACTTTCTCAACTAAAAGTTTCTTCAGCATTGGTCTTCAGCATTCATTATTTACTCTTTTATATATCTTAGCAATATTTGGGAAAATATATTTAAATGTCATTAAATCAATTGGGGTAGACGTCTAAGCCAACTATGCCCACAAGTGCATCCAATTTACAGTATTAAACTATATTAAAGACTCTCCGCACAAATAATTACAAGTGCGTGATTTCAAGAAAATAATTTACATAATAAGAATAAATTTGCAGTGCTGGGCATCAGCCTACTATGCATTAAGGTTTTTATTTTTATTGACTTACACCTTTTCCTCAGCTTTCTCCTTTCCTAACAAATGATGACAGTCTAAGTCATGGCTTCTGTAATTTTCATTTGCATTCTTTCCTTGGTCTATCATTGTGATATCTTACAAAATCTCTTACCATCCAGGTTTAGTTCAATATCTAGCCAATAATTAAAGATTAAAGTATATGAATCTGTAATCTCTGTGCCTGTGTCTCTTCTTGTGTTCTCTCTCTCTCTCTCTCTCTCTCTCTCTCTCTCTCTCTCTCTCTCTCTCTCTCGTGTATTTGACACAGGGTCTTGCTAAGTTGTCCAGGCTGTCATTAACTTATCCTGAAGGCTTGGCTGGACTTGAATTTGTGGTCCTCCTGCCTCAGCCTTCTAACTTTCCGATGTTACTAGCCCGCACCACAGGGCTGGCTTTGTATAGGTTTTCTGTTCTATAGTCACATATGCTACTCTTATGATAGTGTGACTTGTGACGACTGGATCTAGCAACCGTTAGTCGTGTTTGGGCTGGGAACTCAGCAGCTTATGCGCAGAGCTTCCTCTCTAAAGCCAGCCTTCTAGCTGTGCCCGCCTATAGCTCAAATGTATATATGCTCAGAAATGAGCATGCTGGGCAGTGGTCCAGGTCCAAATTAAGAAAGATGCTAGCACAGGACATGATATAAAGACAAGAAAGAGAAAATGATGGAAGTCATTCTAGAAATTGAAGTAATAGACCAGTAAGCATTTGATAAAGCATGAGAAAGAAAAGGTGAGTGAAAATTCAAGTGAGTATACAGAGTTTGGTACATAATTTGTGAGTAATCAGAATTGTCATGCAAATTTCCTTTTCCAATTTTGCTTCAGGTTTGAGTTCAATGAAAACCAAACCTCAGGAAAATGTTAATGCCAAGTACCACCCACCAAAGACATTTCCAACAAAAGTGATCAATCTGTTACCCTTCACCAGTGAAGGTAAGGGAGTATACACAAAGACAAATCACAAGATTTAATTTCCTAAAATAGCTCAGAAGTATCGCTTTCACTTATTCTTTTTGCACCGTATGTTTTTAATTTAACAGTATTACAGAGAGCTCTCCTGGTATCTGAAGATGAAATAGCTTTTATTTGTCCTTTCTGTTGGCAGCGTAACGTTTCAGAGTTAGAGAATGCTTTATTCCACTACTAAAGGGCATTGAATTTTAAAGGCTATTGCCACCAGTAAATGTATCCATGCATGCATACATACGTACATAAATACAGACAGAAACACACACACACACACACACACACACACACACAGTCACACATTCCTTGAAAGAAAAAAAAGGCCCAGATTTGAGATCTCCTTTTAAGATATATGTGGATTTCTAATATTAAAAGACATTTGTAGTCTGGTTTCCTAAAGGGCTATTAAAATTAATATTGACCGCAGCAACCATCTTAGAAAGGGAATGTTTTTGTCTGCATAACTATCTGTAATGTCTCATAGGAGTGTGCAGCCAGCACGTCCTACGATGGGGCTATCAAGTGTTGGTGGTCCTGAGGTTCTTGTGTAGACTAGACAAGCGCTCAACACCGAGCTACGCCCTAACCTCTTTTGGTATTCTAGTGTCCAGAAGCATAATCTTTTATGTTTTCTTCAAGTTTTTTCATAATTGCAGGCCTTATGCTTAAATGAGTTGATTGCTGTAACTGAGGGAAAGTAAGGTATTGGGGTTCCATTCTTCACTCTGCAGTCTGTCTTTAGTTCCGCTTTGACACCTAGTTTACCGTGATTATTAAAGGCAGCTGTAAATGTGAGGCATCTTACAGCTAACAATCTAAATCTCTCTAGAGGCAAACATGGAAAGCTCTACACCGTTTGAGAATGTAATTCCAAAGCCATTCTATAGGACATCCAAGGGAAGTTCCGGCATACCCGCAACTTTGCAGCAATTACTAAACAGGAAGATCTCAGGTAACACTTAATAATGTCTGTGTGCAGCGTGATTATTTAACTGAAAACTTCTGTTACATAGGAATAGAATTTAGAAAAAAAATGCAAGTGGACACGTACCAAACTCCAGTCAGCTCGAACACGTTCATCTGAAGGGTGGCTGCATCTCCGTCATTCCTCGTCCTTCCCCATAATGACAAAGTTAAAGCTCCATTTCCTTCCCAGAGGTTTTTTCCCCTTCTTTCATCCTCAGTAGTTCCTGAGGATGGGTAAGAGAAACCCATAATCCTCTTCCTTTCACATAGGCATCCCTCTCTTTTGCAGTCCCAGCCAGGTGTGCTATGGGAAAGTGAAGCAAAGGAGGTAGGAAGACAAACAACCACACATTCACCTTTCCTTCCTGTTTCACCGCCATCTCCTCCACAGTCCGATTCCACTAATATCTAAGACTATGTTAGCAACTGTAGAGGCATTTGTAACATGAATGGTTTTTCTTTGGTGTACTGTGTGCCCTAATGCCTAAGAGAAATACATACACCATAAAATTTCCTGAAAAAAAATGACAGCAACAATGAAAAAGATGACTGGGATCTTTCTGTTACAAGCACATGCAGAGGACATTTAGTGATAAAAGATTTGGGGCCTGCTTTCTGGGAAAGGAAAGGGGGATACAAGTAAAGGAAATGAGGCCACTTTCTTCCTCTGTGGACTAGAAAGAAATGATCAGAAATTATGTCTGATAGCTGAGGACAATTAAAAGCAATGAGCCTAGTCCTAGGACTCAGAAGACAGAAAAAAAAAATTGAGAAGGTGGACAGGAGTTTTCTCAGTGGCACACCCTCCCTTTTCAAACCTTCTCAAGCTGGTATCAGTTGTCTGCCTATACCTGTGGACAAACATAACTGATCCTGGGTTGAGCCATTACGTCATCTCATCAAGTCTCCTGCTCTCAGCCAAAGTTTCTGGGGGCCAAGCTGGCATGTTCTGGGCTAGACATGAAGTGTCAGACTGACGCTCACATTTTGAAGTCTTCCTCAGTTGGCAGTGCTGTTTCCTGAAGCTGTGAGACCCTCAGGAAGTAAACTCTATTAGGGCACATATCAAAGAACAAAGGTATTCAGTGTCAGTGATAGCACCACTCAGGAAACAGACAAAAAGACAAGAAAATCGCCATGCAGTTTGAGTATCACTGACTTTCCCATGGCTGGAGCCCAACTGCTTGGAAACAAATGATGTAGGGTAGGAAAGGTTTGCTTTGACTTGTGTTTCAGTCCACCATGGCAGGAAGACATGGCCAAGAAGCCCCAGCACCAGACAGGAGTAGATAACCGAACTCCTCTGATTGGAGCAGACAGAAAGCAGAGAACAGCACCAGAACAAAAACTGAGTTTTTACCTTCAAAGGCCTGCCCAAGAGGTCAACTTCTGCCAGCTAGGTCCCACATCAAAGGCTCAATAGTCTCTGAAATTAGCACCATTAGCCAGGTAACAGCTATTCAAGCCATGAACCAATGGGCGGGGTGTGTTTTAGACTCAACCTTACCATTCTATTCTAGGCCTTCCAGAGGCTTCTGGCCATCCTGGAATGTAAAAGGCATTTAATCCCACTTGAACTATCTCCGTAGACTAACAGTCAGCAATACATTTACGCAGAAATTCAAAGTATCTTCTGAGATGCAGACCGAACCTCTAAAGCAAACACCTGTAGAACCAAAGAGCAAGTTACAGCCTTTCGACATAAAATGGAGCAGAACAAACATTGCTGTCGCCGAAGAAGAGAGGAAAGCCAGACCAAAACCCAGCTAGCCAAACACAAAATTCTGCAGCCACACGTCCCGTATTCTAGCAAATAGTGCCATCACCTGAGCCACAGCAGACTGGAGCAGCCAAGCCCAAGGGCCTTGTCACTTCCAACACCGTTGAGTTCTCTGTCAGAATATACAACATCTACTAAGAATGCACACACACACCCACTCAGAATAATTACAACCTACCAATATGCGCCACATATTCGAAATACACTCCATCCGCTCAGAATATGCAGCAGCTGCCCAGAATATCATCCACTCAGAACACACACCGTGTCTTTCTGGTTAGAAAGCAGTCGTGTTCTCTTGCTCCATCTGGAATGGAGATGATGGGAAGACAAATCATTTTCTACCAGAGTGTTAGACTTTCAATCTAGGAACCAACGACAGCAGGACGTTTTGCATGCAGACGGTTGCTGTAACGAATGGAAGAGTTGACTGTGGAAACTCGATATTTTCATATAATTGTCGCCCGTTAATATTGACAAACTGCTCCCTACCCACAAATATTCTGCTTCCCTATTTCAAGATTTGCCCTCCAAGTCAAACATTTTCGTGACATTTGTTTTGTTACAATGTTAAAAATATGTCTTTCTTCACAGTATTCATTGCCCCTCTCTGCATTTCTCTCTGTGGTTTTCACTGCACACATGCCACCCTCTTTATAAAAATTATTCTGCCTAACGGTAAAATTCCATTTGTGATAAATAATTAATTGACTCATGGGATTGCATATTATGCTATGTTTTTAAAAAACGTTCTTCTAGTCGTTTTATATAGCATTTCTATTTTTTTTTACAGTGTGTATATAGTAAGGCTTGCATCAGATTCACTATTTAGGCCAGGTTGACCCCCAGATTTTCCACTCCAGCATCTCAAATGCCAAGGTGCTCCCCCTTCCCTTCAAAAGAGATTTAGTCTTGAGTTTCCCGACTTGCACTCTCACAATGCAATTGTTTTGTGTTTATCTAAATTTATTAGAAAAAGAGGATGTTGTGCATTATCAGGGGTTTATTTTATGTTTTTAAAGTTAAAGTTAGTTTACTTCTTGTATAATTGTATGATATCATTTTCCAGGAGCTCCAAAACCAAACAATATAAACAAGCAAAACACTGAACTTGAAAATCAGCTGCGTATTTCGGTCACATCTCCAAAGAAATACGTGCATAAAGGTAAAAAGAAAAAAAGTAAGACAGATACATACAATAGAAATAACATTCTAGTCTAGTTGCCAGACTTCTCAATCCCGCGACCCCATCCAGCAAAGAGCTGCACGAGCCCAGCGTATGCTCCCCTGCCTTTCCGTGAACAAATACATGCATGCAGGGCTCAGGGTTCTGTACAGTCATAGAATACTGTGTGTAGATATGCCTTACCCCTAAACCAGGTTAAATAATGTATTTAACCTCTTGATGTTCTAAAATGTCAGTATGGCAGTCACGTACATTCAGTGCTTTACTTTTTAGTGATGTTTATTTATCAGGGCTATAATCAATATTGCAATCAATATCATTTCATACATTTTTACTGGGCTGCTTATACTGATGTTTCTGTAAATCTGGGTGAGTATGCCCAAGTATATGGCTCACAGGGTAGTGTTCACTGCACAAGTATGAGGACCTGATTTCATATCTCCCTAACACACATAAAAAAGTAGGTTGTAAGTTGACTGGTGGTAGTGCACACATTTAATCCCAGCACTTGGAAGGTAGAGGCAGGATGATCTATGTGAGCTTGAGGCCAGCCTGGTCTACAAGAGCTAGTTCCAGAACAGGCCCCAAAACTACAGAGAAACCCTGTCACAGATAGATAGATAGATAGATAGATAGATAGATAGATAGATAGATAGATAGATAGATAGATAGATGGTAGATAATAGATAGATGATAGATAGAGAGATAGATGATAGATAGATAGATAGATAGATAGATGAAAAGATAGATAGAGAGAGAAGAAAGATAGAGGATAGATAGATGATAGATAGATAGATGATAGATAGATAGATAGATAGATAGATAGATAGATAGATAGATAGATAGATAGATAATAGATAGATGATTGATTGATAGATAGATAGTAGATAGATAGTAGATAGATAGTAGATAGATAGTAGATAGATGATAGATAAATGAGTTTTAAAAAAGAAAAGAAAAATTAGGTTGTAACTGTGCACATCTGTAACCCCCAGAGCTAGTATAGATTGGGGTCTCAGCTGACCTGAGCTCTTGGGGAGTTCACAGACTCTACACCAACAGCTGGGGAGCCTAATATAATACAAATATAATACGTATTGACTCATAAGTGGCTTTTAAACATAATGCAAAGAAAATACAACCTACAGACCACAACCCCAGAGAAAACAGACAACAAAGAGGACCCTAAGAGAGTCATACATGGATATACATAGGAAGGTGAAAAAGTCAAGATCTTCTGAGTAAATTGGGAATGTAGGGGTCACGGGAGAGGGGAGGAACAAAGGGGAGTAGAGAAAAACGTATAGCTCAATAAAAACAAAATTAAGAAAAAAAAGAAATTGTAGATATAAAACATTCCTGCTGTTCAGATTATGCTTTTTAATTTCAGCATTTGTTTTCAAGTGAGTAAACATTAAAACTATATTCATTATATATTTTGTTTGTTTGTTTGTTTGTTTGGGGTTCTATATAGGGGAAGAGGTTTGAAAGCAGTCGCATGTACCTCGAGCAGGCCTTAAACTCCTTATGTAGCTGACAGTTACCTTAAGCTTCTGATCCCCCTGCATCCACCTCCTGAGTGCTGGGATTATAGACGTGTACTGTCTTTTCTGGCAGGCATCGTGCTGGGGACTGAACTCAGGGACTTGTGGGCAACCGAACAATGTCTTCAGCCCTCCAGTGTTATGATTTATTATTTGACACAAGATTTTGCTATGTACAGCAAGACTGGCATTAAATTCCCTCTTTGCCAACCTGGCCCCACGTCTCTCTTTACCTGCATCAGCGCCCCCTGTGGCAGAAACACGAGCAGACATGTGCCAACACACTTAACTCTGCTCACCAATTTTCCTTGCATACAGTTTTACGACTACCAGGCAAGAAAAAGTCATATATGTGCGCTGCTTCCGCAGTCTCATCAAAATCACTGTGCTTCAGAAAAGGCACAAAACTTGTCCTTTCAAAGGACGAAGTTAGTTTAGTTTTCATAAAACGTAATGCCGTTTTTCTCATCTTTCAGGGCTGTCTAAAACGCCAAAGTTAAGAAAAAAAGGAGTTGAGTCTCGGAGTAACCTTCACACTTCGACATCGTCCATCAAGAAGCAGAAGCTTAAAGGTAAAGGAGTCACTGTAACCCAGATGTGTAACATACCACTCCTGCTCACCTGTGCCCAGCCTTTGGGCCCTCGGACAGAGAGCCAGGGTTAGGAGCCTGGCAGGTGTTGGCCTTGTTTCCTGTGTGGAGGGCATTGTGGCGCTATCCAGAAACAGCACCCTATGCGAAGATTCACCTTACCCCAAGCCAACAGGCAGGGTTCCTTCAAGCCTTCAGTATGATGTTCTGAATAAGGATGTGTCGTGAAGCAATCAAGGGTTGTTACAAAGACCTTCATTTTTAGTGTTTTTCGCAGTTCCGTCAGGAACGCACTGAATGTTGCTGCACACATTTCTATTAGGATGCTTACATTTCTGCAAAAGACTGGAAGTAGGATTTGTGGGTTAAAGATATATTTTAAACTTTAATAGATATTCCCAAATACTTTTGAGAAAAATTACAGTTAACCATTTTGCCCACAAATGCCTAGAATCTCCAGATATGTTAGCCAGCACTGGACTACTTGTAAGTTGTAAGAATAGACAATTATGCTGTTCAGATGACAATACCACAGGGCTGTGCTCTAGAGACTCTGGGGAAAGTTCCTGGAATTGCAAACCTCTACTAATAGAAAAGTCCATGGAACTTTAGACACTATCCTACTCTAAGGAGCCTTGGGAAAGAATAAACTGGGAAGAGTAACACTTAAAATTGTCAAAAATGCTACCAAGCTACAGACATTACATCAAACCCTTCCCCTCAGAGCTCAGGGAACTCCTTGAAAGAGGAGGTGGAAAGAGAGTAAGAACCTGAGGAGATGGAGGACACCAGAAGAACAATGTCCTCCGAATCAACTAAGCAAGGTACATATGAGCTCAAGGAGAAAGAAACAGCAAGTCCAGGGCTGACATGGGTCTACAACATGTCTGCATATCTATTACAGCCTTTAACTTGATTTTTTACGCAAGTCCTGAGAGTGAGAACAGGTGGGTCTCTGACTCTTGTGCCTGCTCTTGGGACTCTTTTCCACCTGTCCAATTGCCATGTCCAACCTCAGATGGTAGGGGTTTTTTTTCATAGTATTTTATTTTATCATGTTTGATTGTTGCCTCTTAGAAGATGTTCTTTTCTAATGAGAAACAGAAAAGGAATGAATCTGGAGGGGAGGTGGGGAGGACCTGGAGGAAGTGGAGGAAGGAGAAACTATAATCTGGATATATTGTATAAGAAAATAATCTATTTTCAATAGAAGGAATATTAAGTGTAGATCCAGGAGCATCTTTGTGGCCTGTACCAAATACTGCCCCCTCCGCAAAAAAAGTCTGGCATACAGACAGATGACATGTAGACCAATGAAATAGCAAAGAAATCCCAGAAGTGACCTCCCCTCAACACATGGGCAAGGTCACTAAGGCCACTCAGTGAGAAAAAGCATCCCACAGCAGATGGTGCAGGGGAAGCTGAATCCCCTGTCGGGAAGATGAAACATGGACCTAAGTGTAAACTATATTCAAAAATAGATCACCACAAACCAAAGACCTATAAGTAAGACCTAAACTGTGGAAATTTTACAAGAAAACTTGGAAAACCCTGCATGATAGGTTTCCAAAAGAGAAAGGATATAAAGTCAGGGTTGCTGTTGCTTAATGATAGAGCACTTGTCTAGTGTACAGAAACACAGACACTCAATTCTCAGGATTTCAAAGAAGCAAAACAAAGGTATAGGAATAAATAAATACAGCAAATGTTATGATTAGCAAGGACTGAAGCATCACCTGAGCTCCAGCAGGCTACTCACAGCACAAGTGACCACTCAGTCTCAGTAACCCACATCTGCATGTTCACTCTCTGATTATAGAGAAATGATGATAGTCTCTGTAAGCAGGGACTGCGTGTTTGTTTCCCAGCTGCCAGACACGAATCACACAGAAACTATATAATTTCAACACTGTTTGGCCAATGTTTCAGGCGTATTCCTAACTAGCTCTCACATCTTAAATTAACCCATTTCTATTAATCTGTGTATCACCACGAGGCTGTGGCTTACTGGTAAGGGTTTAGCATCCTTCTCCTTCAGCAGCCATATGGCATCTCCCTGACTCCACCTACTATATTCTGTATTCTGCCCTCTGTAGTCCAAAACAACTTCTTTATTAACCAATGTTGACAAAATATATTCACAGCATACAAAGGGAAAGGTCTGCTTTTGTGTGTTGAATGGAAATGATTCCAGGATAAAAACATTTTTCTTAGAACATCAAAACTTTGGATCTGAGAGGCAATGGCAAGTGTGTATTCTTTGAGCTGATATGTACAGTCATAAGTAGAAGAACATTTGCTAAAATTGTTCAGGACTGCTTTCTCTTGTTTTGTTTCCTGTGTGGGTTTTGAATTAGGCTCTCATGTTTCCTAGACTGGTCGACAATTGGCTTTGTAACTGAAGATGACCTTGAACATCTGATGTACTTGACTTTATGTCATAGAATTACAAGCATTAAACACAATGCCAAGTTTATACAGAGCAGTACTAAGCCTGGGTCTTCATGTATCCTGGACAAGCATTCTACCCACTGAGTAACATTCCCACCAGGCATTCTGCTTTTGTATTAAAGTGTTTGCCTCTAAATGCTTACTGAACATTTTTATGTGTTTATCTTGTTTCTTAACATGGTTCAAGTGTGCTCAGAATAGTATTTGTTAGTATCGCTCCCTCTGTCCCTGCCCTGTATCACTTCTTGAGGGAATGTCAACTTCATACAGAGTGCAGCAGTATGTGGAGATAAATCGATATTTGAAATTCATTATTTACTTTCTCACGGTTTCTTTTACTTTCCTAAGTGTTTTTTTTAAAGTATTCTCTTTGACATTTGCCTATGACAATTATTTTGTTGTGTGCCTGTTGGAGACAGAGGCTTTCTACACATAGAAAAGCTGGCACCAAGCCATTACATAGGTCAGAGTGGCCCTCAAATCTTCATCCTCCTGCCTCAGCCTCCAAACTCCTAGGACTAGAACTATGGTTGCAGAGAGAGAGAGAGAGAGAGAGAGAGAGAGAGAGAGAGAGAGAGAGAGGAAGAGAGACAGCAATTTTGTAACTTCCCTGACTTGCACTCTTGTGGAAAGGAAAGGGAAACTCAGACTAGACCAGCTCTGTGTCAGACCTTTACCCAAACCACTGAAAATGGTGAAAGGAAGCTGTGGTTTGCAGAGAGATTGAGATTTATTTGAACTTTTTTCAAAGTTAAAATAGTTTCTCATTATAATTGAATGATATTGTTCCTGGGCTTCAGAGCAAAAGAAAACTAAAACTTGACAAAAGTTTTCAGTTTCTAAATAGTCTGCACACTCCATTCTCCCTTGCAAGCACCCATGGCCATCGAGGTAAAATAAAACAGTGTAATACAAACATGTGAAATAAAACTTTGTTGCAGGCCCCACATGTGTCCCCATGCTTCCCCCGCAAACAGATGCGTGTACAGAGGGCTTTGTGGTTCCGTAGAGGATAAGATGCAGTGTGTGAACTCCCCTGCATATGTCCTTTCTGCGTGATGTTCTGGAGCAAGAGTGTACCACACATATCAGTGGTTCCTTTACTGAATTGCCCCTGTATTTCTATTGTGAGCATAATCGATGGAGTTATAAATATTTTGCACACTTCTTTATTGTGCTACTTATGTTTCAATGAAATGGGTTTTAAAAGGAATTGCTGAACTAAGGGCACATATATGCTTTTAATTCTAATAGGCGTTACCTAATAATTTCTTGAAAAGTGTAATAAATAGGTGTGCTCATGTGCCAAAGAATATTATATCTCATTAATGTATCCAGCACTAGGCTTTTATGGGCTGAAACTATGACAGACATTAAATCATGCTGGTAAATATAAAAACAGCAGAGAGTGGTGGGAAGAGTAAGGAGAATCCTTGTCAGAGTTTGAAAGACGTTTTGTGGAGTCCATTTTCAACTTTGTATGAACTCTCGAAAAGCAGTAATAATCAAAATGGTGTAAAAAGAACAATTTAGGAAGAGTCACACTTCCTAAATTCCAAACATGTGACCAAGCCATAGGCACCACAGTTCTGGCGTATGGACAGATGCCAGGTAGGCCAAGACATCGAGAAGGGAATCGGAGGGGAACTGCCTGGTGAAGGGCACCAGCTCCACTCAGTGAGAACCGCAGTTCGCCACACATCGTGCTGGGAAAAATGACATCCCTAGGCGGAAGCATAAAACTGAGACCTGGGCTTGGACTGTTTTCAAAAATAGCTCAGCTTGAATCAAGGAAACACAAGCGAGAACTGGATTATAAAAACATTAAAAGAAAACATAGTATAAAACATACATGATAGTAAATTTGATATTATGGTTTTGAACTGGCCACAGAGACACAGTCAGAAAAGAAAATAATATGGAAAATTTGACGTCACAAGCGTTTAAAGCTGTTCACATCACTTGGTGCAATTAATAAATGCTTATAAAAAATGAATTGAATTGGCACTAGCCAGTTGGCTTAATATGTCAAGGTGCTTGTTTGCCCAAGCCTGATACCCTCAGTCAAACCTTGGAACATACATACATACATACATACATACATACATACATACATACATAATACAGAACATACATACAAGAGAAGAAGAAAACTAATTCTCAAAAGTTGTGCTCCGGTTTCCGTGTGTGCACACACGGACACATCCAAATAAATACATACTTTTAACAATTGATCTTATATGTATAAGTGTTTTACCTCCATGTATTTATGTGCACTGTGGTGCCTGGAGAGGCCAGAAGGGTGCTTTGATTCCTTCTGACTGGAGTTATGGATGGTCATGAGCCATCATGTAGGTACAGAGACTCGAACCCCAGGTCCTCTAATTATTTGCAAGAACAGCAAGTGCATTAACCTAAACTGAGAATCTCTTTCCAGGCACTAAATAAATGTTTGGGGTTCTTTAATGAACTAACTTTAAACTAAAGAGAATCCTTGGAGTAGATCCAAATCAGATACTATTAACAGGTTAACATATCCAAAGATATGCCAGTAGATATCCAAATCTCAACAATGACAAAGCCCAAGGAAACCCCTTGAAAAACACGCTAATAGCAAACACAGGCATTCCTGGTAAACATCACTAACGACTGGGAAACTCAACCCAAAACTAAAAGGAAAAAACCACTTACAACCTTGACTGGGTATTATCAGGAAAGGAAAGAGAGAAAGGAAAGACCAAGGTGAAAGGAAAAAAATAAAAGGTGCACCAGGCACTGGTGGTGCAAGCCTTTAACCCCAGTGCTTGGAAGGCAAAGCCAGCCTGGACTACAGAGAGAGTTCTAGGACAGTCAGGGCTACACAGAGAAAACCTGTCTTGAGAAATCAACAATAAAAAATAAATATAAAAGATAGCATTATGAGTAATCCTTCATACTAACAGGAAGGCTGAGACAGGAGGATGACAGGTTCTAGCACCCAGGGTGCTTAGTGAGGTCAAGGCCACTGCCTTTCTCTGTTGAGTAGAAGGAAGTTGGAGGTCCTTGCCTAGCACACACAAAGCCTTAGTTTCTCCTTTAGTGTGTGAAACAAATGAACCCAGAGCAAGGACAAATATTGCTAAAGGTGTCAAGGAAGTAAAAGAAGGAGAATAAATTGTCCCGAGAGCTCCAGCCGGCTTGAGGGGCCTCCATCTACAGCTCTGTCATTGGCAGTAAAGGTGCAGGCTCAGCCCCTCAAGTACGTCATGCTGATTTCTGATTAGAGAAAATGGATAATGGTCTCCTTCCACGTGCTGGGTGGAAGCAATGTGAGGACATAGAAGTTTCCCACCAGGGCATCCAACTTGGAATTAGACAGAGAACCCCAGCCGCACGTGTTCACGCACACACAGCAGATTGTATTTTTATATTTGTGCATATATAAGTGATGATGATGATCAAAGAAAAGGAAGCTATTAATTTAAGAGTGAGGGCATCTGGAAGAGAAGGGGAAAGAACATGGGAAGACCTGGAGGGAAGGGGGAAGTAATGTGGTTTGTTTCAATTTATGTATGTTTAGATAAAAACATATATGTAATGAGTTGATTTTTGTAACTGTAAACTTTGAAGTTAGGGCTTTTTTACTGTATCAGTTAATAATCTTATTCCCTTTTTCAGAACAGCATAACCCTGTAATGTCAATTGAAAGAAGTGATGAACTTCCAAACAATATGAAGATGCTTGCCTCTCCTCCCAAAATCAAAGTCCTTAAAGGTAAATGAAGCACTGTAATACGTGTTTGAAATGAAATCCTGTATTATGTTCACACCGTTTCTATGTACCAGTATCCTTCAGTGTGGGCTCTTCCAACAAACAGGCTTTTCCTGTAAACAGACACATGTGGAGAGTCATGTGATTCTGATCAGAAATAGAACCCTGTGCAGAGACCCCCTTACCTCTACCCCAGATAAAATGATCGATTTCGCTCAGGTCTTATACTTTACATTTTCTTTGTAACATTCTGAAATGAGAATATATTACTTATCAGTAGTCCCTTTTAAAGTAAACATCTCTGTGGTTTCAGATACAATCAATAGTGCAATCAAAATCATTCACTTTTTTTTTATTGAGACAGGGACTTAACTATGCAGCCACAGCAGGTCCAGAACTCACTATATAGGCAGGCTGGACTAGAACTCATAGAGATGGGCTGCCTCTGCTTCCCAAGTGTAAGGATGAAAGGTGTGTGTCAACATACCCTACCAATCACATTTTATAATGCTAGTTTGTCTCTGTAGAGTAGAGTGTATGAGGGAGATTATTGTATTTAGAAAATGCATGTTTTTATTGTCCATAGATATCTTACTGGAGTAGAAAAGTAGAAATTCATACGGAATCATCAGAAACTGTAACAGTCTAAAGCATAATGAAAAACAGTAAGAGAAACACTAGAGAATTTAGTAACTAATTACCTTACAAATTAATGCAAACCTGAAAAATATTTAGAAAAAAGTATGCAAAGATATACAAGATGTTCACCTTATAATGTATTTTTAATTAGCATTGAGGACATGGTCAAGAAATATAAATATAGGCAAATTCAGATTGATCTTAGATAAAATTTGTGCACATTAAGAAAAATTCAATTTTGTACAATTGGTACAAATGTTAGTCAAAAAGAAAGCAAACAAAATGGGAAGGTACCAGTGGAATCAAAAGGCTGTGCACAGAAAGAGGTCATGACTTCCTGTCTACATCCGAGAAAGAATTAGAAAGATAAAGAAGGTCTGAAGTTAAACCACAAGAAGACACATAAAAACAATGGGAAATATTCTGAAAGACACTCCTGAGACAGTACTACATACCCACAGGAACATAGACATCAACCGGAATGAGAAAAATTGTTACCTCCCTAAATGGTATTAATAGCAGGAAAGGAGGCAGAGTGAAAAGGGAAAGTGGGGGAGGAAATGGCTGGTCCTGGAGTCCTGCGCACATCACTCAGGCTCCCTGGGAGAGTAATGCAGAAAACAGGAAAATCACAAGTGCTGGTCAGCTTTGGCAGCAAACAGAGTTCAAGTCCAGTCTGGCCACGAGACCCCCATCTCAGTATAAAAAGTGTGTAGACTACTGGGGATGGAGGGAGCTTCCATCATGAAAATCTCAACCAGCATATGCAGGGAGTTGTGTTCAGTCCTCAGTACCACAAAAAGTAAAGAGGAAAGGAAGGGAAGGGGAGATGGAAAAGCGAGAAGGGAGAAAACAATAATTTCAAGGTATCAAGAAGTAGGCAGTAGACGCACCACGTGACTGCCATCCTGTAGGGCATCCCACTGTTCTATTAGATCCCTGAATTCACGTTTATAAAATAGCATCTGCCAGGCAAGGATGAATCGGACAGAGTCTACTGGTGCTTGGCAGCCACTCTTTGTCAATAGCTGGAGGAAGGTGTGCTCAGAAATAGTTTATTACCATTGCTGCAGAATGATTTTGTCCTCGTTTTTTCAGAGCTGTCCAAAACTTCACTTTCTAACAACCTGCGCAAGTCAAGGTCTGCTGCCAAGAAACTCGAGTTTGGAGGTAAAGGAGATGTTGTGATACAGATGTGTGAATCAAAACATTCCCCTCCCACTGGGCAGCGGTGATGCAAGCCTTTAATCCCAGCACTCGGGAGCAGAGGCAGGCAGATCTCTGTGAGCTCGAGGCCAGCCTGGTCTACAGAGCAAATTCCAGGAAAGGCTCCAAAGCTACAGAGAAACCCTGTCTCAAAAAAAAATTCCTATCCATTCATTTCCCATTGTTACTATGTTCTGCAATATTCAAACCCCCGAGTCCTTTTTCCAGCAAACAGCCTGTGTGGAGGGCTTTGTCTTTCTGTGCAGTGGTAGGATCTTGGGTGTAGATTCCCTTACTTCTAACTCAGGTGAACTGGAGGATTTCCTTCACGTCACAGCTTGAGCTTTTAGTGTTATGTTCCTAATGAAAAATAAAACCCTTCATCTACCATTCCTCCTTATGGAATCCTAACATTTAATAACCCTTCATCTACCATTCCTCTTTATGGAATCCTAACATTTATGTTGTTGCAACTGCAACCAAGAGAGCTACCAATGTCACTGTACAACTTTATACAAATGAGTGTGCGAGTAGGGTGGCTGGATTAAGAGCATGTATGCTCGTAATTTTCATAGGTACTCACAAATACTTGGTAGAATGACTATAATTAATAGCTGTAGCAATAGAGCATGAAAACTATATCCAATTATCAAAGCTACTACTAGATATTTCTGTGAGTCATCCATAGTCCAATAGTGTGTTGTTTAGTCTCCATGTGTTTCTGTAGTCTCTCTTACTGTTGACATCTAATACTCAATTGTGGTTAGATGGAATACAGGATGTTATCTCAATTTTCCTCTGTCTGTTGAGAGTTACTTCACTTTCTAATGTGTTGATAATTCTGATGAAAGCTTCATGGCTGATTATAACAATGTGTATTCTTTACTGTTCTGGTCTTCTAGTTCATTTATTTTATGATGTTATTTAACTATAGTGTGTTGATGTTGCTTATTGGTTTTGTTTCCAAGAAAGGTCTCTGTGTAGCCTGACTGCCCTGAAACTCACTAAGTATAGCAGACTGGCCTTGAACTCACAGAGATCCACTCTGTGGGATCCACTTTCCTCCACCTCCTGGATGATAGGATTAAAGACATGCGCCACCACACACAGCTCAATGTTGATTTCTTTTGTGTGTCCAGACAATATGTCTAATGGTAAGAGTGAACGTTGAAGTCACCCACTATTGCTGTGCTAGGATTCACAAGTGATTTTTCATTTAGTAGTATTTGTTTTATGAAATTGGGTATGCCTGTATTTGGTGCATATGTGTTCAGAATTGCCATATCCTTAAAAAAAAAAAAAACTAAATTCTTCAAGTAAGATTTACTTAAGTTTTAAATCTTTAAAGTGTCAGGAGGGGCTGGAGAAATGGCTCACAGGTTAAGAGCACTGCCTCCTCTTCCAAAGGTCCTGAGTTCAATTCCCAGCAACCACATGGTGGCTCACAACCATCTATAATGAGTTCTGGTGCCCTCTTCTGACCTGCAGGCATACATGCAGGCAGAATACTGTCTACTTAATAAATAAATAAATAAATAAATAAATAAATAAATAAATAAATAAATTGTCGGGAATATTAAGCCCTATGAATTTTTTAAGGAAATTTAAATAGAAATAAGCTTTAAAGATATTATTTTTACTGAAATACATCATTAGTGGTGCTTCCTACATGGCAGCCAAAGTTGCCCCTTGACACATGTCAAACAAAACTACAACTGGAATCTTTGAGAGACCATCACAGGTATTGAATAGAATAAAACGCCATTATGTTAAGATCTAGCTCCCATGTCAGAGAATAGCACAGGTAAAACAAGCAAGGAATAAACATCATGTTCCCTAGTAATAATAGCCAACACTGACTAACTACTTGTGAAATTCTAGATTCTGTTTTGAGTATTTTCCACCGTTTCAATATTTAAATCTTTATCAACTTCATGTAATGGCACTGTTACTATTTCCATGTGTACATGAGGAAGTAGGAGCATTAAACAACCTTGAATAATGTCCTAATAAGTAATATAAGAGGCAATATATAGCAAAGGCTATGAGTGTGTCTACTATATTCATTTTTGTTGTTGTATATTATTGAGATTGTAATTTAAATGTAACATTTCTCCCTTCCCTCCCCGTTTCTCCAAAACCTCCCACATGCCCTTCCCAGGTCTCCTTCAAATCCATGGCCTCTTTAGTCATTAATTGTTATTGAATATGTGTATGTATTTTATATGCATAGATATTCCTAAATATAACCTGTTAAGTCTATATAATGTCAACTGTTTGTATGTTTTCAAGGATGACCATTTGGCACTGGATAACCAAAGGTTGTGTTTATCTCTGGGGAGGACTAACTCCCGTCTTTACCCGAATGCCTGTAATTTTTTGTTTAGGCTTGAGGCACCATGGGCTTTTTCCTGTCAACTTTGGCATGTTCATTGGTTTCGTCCTTGTTCATCTCACGTTTGAGCAGTCGTGTTGGGGAGACTTTATTGGTATCGAGTTTCTGATATACCTAGGCGACATAGTCTCACAGCAAACTCCCTGACCTCTCCGGCTCTTACAATCTTTTCACCCCTTCTTCTGCAACATTCCTTGTGCCTTTGGTGTGAGAGTTCTTTGTAGCCATTGGGCCTGGGCTTTGATTGGTTGTGGTTTTCTGTAGTGCTCTCTGTTACAAAGAGAAGTTTCCTTGATTAGGGGTGAAGGCCACACTTAGCTGCTTATCTGTGGGTGTAAGGACAGACATTATTAGTTTGTTGATAGGGCTTAGTAAGTAATTTAGAGCCTAAAGATTCCTCTTCAGTAAACAGGGCTTCACTAGAACTGAGTAGTTAGCCAGCTTTGTGTTAACTCTTTGTTCCTCAACAGACACCCTTATCGTGTGCTGTTATAACGTAAACAGCTAGGGTAAGAAAAAGCAGAAAGACTTGATTTGTGCTGACTAAGCTGCAGCATCTAGAATAACTAAAAGCGAGTGAACGTCTTCAGAAGGGGATTGGGATTTATTTTAACTTTTTAAAAATGGAAATGACTTTACTTCTGGTGTAATTTATTGAGATTGTTCTCATTTTCTAGAGCAACCACCGCCTGTAAACTTAAATGACAAAGACGCCATAATTTACTATAATTTGCATGGTTCCACCTCTGCCGCTAACAAAGACCTCACTGCAGGTAACGGAGTTGTGAGAATACAGATGTGTGGGAGAGAACTCTGTACCATTCCCGCTGGTGCTTTTTACGAATATCCGTCTTCAAACCTGTGGGCCCAACAGACAATATTGTGAATACAGTATGTCCCATGGTTCTTGAGAGTGCATGCCTGTGTTTGTGGGAGGATGAGGCTCTGTAAAGTTTGGCATCCTGCACGTAAGTGAGCCCTACTTACCTTAACCCAGGTAAATGGATAGACTTCCTTCATCCCTCACACCGTCTCTTTTCTGCACAATGCTCTAAGAGAGAATGTGCAGTGAGTTATCCAGCAGCCACTTTAATGCCTTCTTACGATGCCCTTTAAGTCTTCAGGGTTTATTTCAGTGGTCAATAACCAGTGCTTCAGTAGCTGTCGTGTGCAATTGTCTTATGTCAATAATGTTTCTATACGATAGACTGTGTGATGGGATTTGTGGGGGAAATACATGTGTGCTTTTAATTTTAATGCATATTGACAAATAATTTACAATTAATATAATTCAGCCAGAGAATAAATTAAAAACCCAATTCTAAGTGTCACATTGAGAAACAAACTTTGTGTGGAAAAAAACTTAAGCACAAATTTAACTGTTAAATGTCCATACTATGAAAAAGATTTAAAAAAAAAAAAAAAACTCTAGAGAAGTCCCTGAGATGCAAAAGGTATTTTTGCATACAAAGAAAGTCCATTTAACATTCACATAGAATCTTTGTAAATATGTAAGAGAACAAAATAATACTTAATAACCTCAAAGCGTACGACCGACCCACAGCAGTGAGGGCATTGCAGTTCTCAAATGCATACAGGGGACACAGAGACCAGAGCCATGCTGGAGAAATCCACACATGGTACAGGGAAGCCTGTTATCCACAACAGTAGCATGAAAGGGTTTCACAGGCTAAACCGCTTTCAAAACATAAGTAAACATGAAGGCAGACCTTACAAGTTAGAGTTACCTGCAAAAATATGGGGACAAGCAGGCACAGCCAATAAGATGCTCATTTTGACAATATAAAATGGATTAGCATCAAAAATAATATTGGCAATTTTGGATTCATCAGATTTTAAAATTTGGTCATGTCAGGGAAGATAAAATTTTGTATTTGGTAGCTTTTAAAAGGTAACAAAAATGGGATAATATCAATAAAGCAAAAGTGCTACCCAAATAAAGGGACATATTTCCCTATATGGCTTCCATATATGGCTTCCATAAAGAATTACCTTTCAAAGATAGATTAACAATGGTCTGCGGCTCAACCACATCAAAACTCATTTATAAAAAAACGCATGGGAAATGCTCTAAAAGATGCTCTTCCTGAGGTTTTATATACCTTCAGGAACATAGAAATGTCTTCTCTCACTGGGGAAGTTCAACCCAAAACTAGAATGAGAAAAACGCTTCACGCACATGGGGTAATATTTCCAGGAGGGGGATCAAGAGAGAAGTGGAAGAAAAACTGGCTGTTTCTGGAGTTCCATAGCTGTCCCTGTAGATCCCTCGGAGAGTCCTGCAGGAAAATCACAATTTCAGGTCAGCTTTGACAATACCCAGAGTTCAAATCTAGTCTGGCCATGAGACCCCATCTCATCAAAAAAATTAATTAATTAGATATTTGCAGCTCAGTTGTGTAGCTCTCAACCAGCATATGTAAGGAATTATGTTCAATCCTTAATGCCACAAAAATAAAATAAAGAGAAAATGAAAGGAAGAGGAAAAAAAGAAAGAAGAAAACAAAAATGTCAAGAAGAAACGGGGTAACTACAGGCCAGGACCTCCTGCTTCTCTTATTAGTTCCCTGACTTGCACTCTTACAATGCACGTTTATAAAATATCATCTGCCAGGCACGGATACATCAGACGGAGTCTGGAAGGGCTTTGTCAACCCCTCTATGTCAATAGTTGGAGGAAACTGTGCTCAAAAATAGTTTATTTCCATTGTCGCTGAATGACGCTGTCTTGTTTTTCAGAGCTGTCTAAAACAACTCATTTCTATGATGAAGTCGGTCAGCGTTCCAGTACTGTGCACATGTCCATGTCCGCTATGAGGAAACGTAAAACCAAAGGTAAAAAGAGCGTGGTAAAACAGACGTATGAAATCAAATATTCCTTTCCCGTGCTTTCCTGTTTACCAAAATTCTCAAACCCGTGAGCCCCTTCAGACGGCCAGTTTTATAAGCCCAGCTTGCCTTCCATGCTTCTCCTGTGCAGCGACTCCCGTTTGGGAGCTTTCTGTTTGTGTAAAGTAGTAGGATCCTGTGCACAGATCCACCTTACCTCTAACCAGGTAACCTTTAGTGTGCTCCATGCTGCTCCGAAATGGAGAAACAGCACACGTGTTGTAGACTTTCTCTTTATGTTGTCCTTGCATTTCTGTTGTTGCGACTACAGTGTCCTAACACATTGCTATTCTCTGGCTTTATACAGTAGAGTATGTTAGGGGGTCGCTGGATTGGGAACATGCACGCCTTTAATTTTCATAAGTACTAACAAATAATTTGCAGAGTGGCCGTAATTAATAGTTGTAGCAACAAAAGCATCAAAAACTTCTGAGTATTTGGGGCTTGAAAACTATGTTTTCTGATATTAGAATAGCTATGTCAACTTGTTTCCTAAGTCCATATGCTCAAAATAATATTTTCTGTCCTTTAGTCTGAGGTGGTGTCCATCTCTGATGGTGAGGTCTGTTTCTAGGAGGAAGCTGAAAGGTGTCGCCTGAGCTCTAATCCAGGCTGCTCATCTGTGTCTTTTTATTTGGTTGTTTACACCACTAATATTCTGAATTATTATTGAAATAAGTATATTATTTCTTTTTTTTTTTTTTTTTTTTGGTTTTTCGAGACAGGGTTTCTCTGTGGTTTTGGAGCCTGTCCTGGAACTAGCTCTTGTAGACCAGGCTTGATGTGGGAGTGATTTCTTATTAATAAAGAAACTGCCTCGGCCCTCATAGGACAGAAAATTAGGTAGGCGGAGTAGACAGAAGAGAATTCTGGGAAAAAGAAGCTTAGTGGAGGAGTCCGCCATGATTCTCCCACGCCAGACAGACGCAGGTTAAGATCCTCCCTGGTAAGCCAGCTCGTGGGCTACACAGAATATTAGAAATGGGTTAGAACAATATGTAAGAGCTAGCCAATAAGAAACTGTTACTAGCCGGGCCAGGCAGTGTTTGAAAGAATACAGTTTCCGTGTAATTATTTCTGGGCATAGGCTAGCCATGCGGGCGGCCGGGTGCCGGGGACGCAGCCCCGCCGCTCCTATTTCAACACAGGCTGGTCTCGAACTCACAGAGATCCGCCTGCCTCTGCCTCCCAAGTGCTAGGATTAAAGGCGTGTGCCACCACCGCCCGGCAAGTATATTATTTCTTATACTTGCTTCAGCAATTGTAATATTTAACTTACATTACATAAAGTTATTTCCATTTTTCAGAGACATCTAAAACAACAAATTTAGAGAAGGAATATGCTGAAGTTGAAAATAGTCTGCAGACACCAAATTTGGCTGCTTCAATAAGTGAGCTGAAAGGTAAAGGAGTCACTGCCATAAAGATGTATGTAATAAATCTCTGTACTATCCCTTTGCTTCTATGTACCGCCATCTTCAACCTGTGGGCTCTTTCACCATACAGTCAGTACTATGAGTGCCCTAGTTGTCCCTGTACTTTTTTTTTTTTTTTTTTTTTTTGGTTTTTCGAGACAGGGTTTCTCTGTGGCTTTGGAGCCTGTCCTGGAACTAGCTCTGTAGACCAGGCTGGTCTTGAACTCACAGAGATCCGCCTGCCTCTGACTCCCGAGTGTTGGGATTAAAGGCGTGCGCCACCATCACCCGGCTGTCCTGTACTTTCTGTAGCTAGACACCCACACAGAAGACTTTGTAGTTCTGCACAGTAATAGAATCCTGGGCATCCAAGCCCATTACAGCAGACAGATAAATTGATGGGTTCCTTCATCTCTCACACCTTTAATATTCAGTGAGATGTTCCAAAGTATGAAGGCACCACACTTAATACTTTCTATTTAAATCTCCTTGTGACTACACTCAACAGCGTGATCAAAATCATTACACATTTTATTGTGTTACTTTATATCTAGAAAGTTAAGTGTCTGAGTAGAATTATTGACTGAGGACATATATGATTTTAACTCAATAGATTCTGTAAGTGGGAATATTTACATATTCATTCTAGAATGATTATAGTTAAGTTATGATAGTAATTGTTTGAGAAAACGATTTTCTGGTTCTTAGCACTAACCTTTTTATGGATTGAAAACATTAATGAGATGGAATTATAGAAATAAGTTGACAATAGGACATAAAATGACACTGGGGAAATCCCCAGAATCACAAATAAATGCTGAAGAACTAGGAAAGTCCATTTTAGGGACTACAGAGTTGGCTCAGCAGTTAAAGGACTTCCAATACAAGGAAGAGGACAAGCATCCAGGTCAAACACATGTAAAACTCAGGATGCACATGGCTGCCTACTTCTAATTCCAAGCTGCAAGGCAGACACTGGATCCTTAATGCAAGATAGCTATTTAGATATAGCCACATGGGTAAGTGCTGAGTTTCATCAGTATACGCTGCCTCAGTGAATAAGACGGAGGATGGACAGAAGAAAACTCTCTACACACACACACACACACACATTTGAGTGTGGCGAAAAACACCTGCACAAAAAAACACATAGACATAAGCAGGTGACACACACAACACACACATTGACACATAAATCAGGGGGAAAGAAGTCCATTTGAAATTCATATAGAATCTTGAAAAGGTGTCAAAGCCAGAATAACCATGAACAAACCTTAAGAAGTCACACATGACAAACTCAGAACTTCATATCAGATTATAGAGATGAACGTATGATGGGTCTAATGACAGACACACCAGGGCAGGCCAGCGAATAGCGAGAACCTGGGAACCTGGGAGTGAACTCCTCTGCATGGCTAAGGGCACCCAGATTACTCTGTGGGAAATGGCAAGGTGCCATCTATGTGCAGAGAAAACTGAATATCCCCAAACAGACACGAGCCTGAGCTCTTAGCCTAAGCATACACAAATATACTTCAGCATAAACCAGAATACTTACCGACGAAAACTCAAAGGGAAAAATATTAGAAGAAACTGTAGCAACATCTACAGGATACTAGATTTGAACTTGTATTTGGCCATTGGAGTAAAACACACCACCAAAAACGAACAGACAAAATATGCTTCAAAGGAGTTAAAGTTTTGGACATTTTCATTTAAAGAGATAGTGGGAGCACATTAACCCTTTGGGTCCATGTCCTCCCCAATTAAACATGCCACTATTGGATGAATAAACAAGCCTTACATGCTTATTCAGTGTTGTGACTGACTTACACATTACACATCTGGGTTAGACCATTAATACATTTTCTTCACAGCCACTTGCATTTCACAGCAAGAGCTGTGAACACCTTGTTATCTCTCTGTGCTGGAACAAAACGGTGTGGTTTACTCACCGATAGGGTATTAACAGCAAACCCAGGGTAAACAGGAAATGACTAGACCTCTCTGGCAAACAGCTTACTGGGCTATCTGCATCATCCTATCCAAATGGTCCAAGAAACACTGAAAAGAAGGAATTTATGAAGAGGAAGATGGGGATCATGAAGACAGGACATTGCTGTTGCAACCATTAACACACAGCAGCAATGGATGCTAGCCAGGATTGGGCCTTTCAAGTGCCCTTCAAGAACAGAGGTGTTCCCAATGGGGCTCCATCCCTTTTGATCATCTAATGACTATTAAGGTTTACAGAAGGAAAACGTGTATTTTCTCTAATGTTGTAGCCACTGAGGGATGAATTGGGAAAAGGACAGGAAGTGTGGTAACGGAGGGCAATAGGCAGGTAGATAGAACCATAACACAGCATTCATTCATATATATGCATATATATAAAACATTTAAACTAAAGCTAAAAATTAAATTTTATACATAAAGTTTGTCCACTTGACTACATCTGGAATAAACTAAAACCCAAATGACTAAGCATATCTTAATTAAATAATTTGAAGTGGGAAGATCCACTTATAATCCAGATCTTTGAGGAGGCATGATACACCTTTAATCTGGGCCACACCTGCTGGCAGCCTCTTTAAAAAAAAAAAAAAAAGTGGAAGAGGGAGGCTTGCTCTTTCTTTGCCTGCTTGCTCTTGCTCTCACCAAGTCTGTTCTTTTAGTGGCATTATAGCCTGCTTCTTTAGGATCTTAGCACATACTGATGAGCAGATGAGACATCCAGCCTCATGGACTGAACAACTACTGGATTCTTGGACCTTCTGTTGATAGACAGCCACTGTTGGGCTAGCTGTAAGCCATTCTTATAAATCCGGTAGAGAGAGAGAGAGAGAGAGAGAGAGAGAGAGAGAGAGAGAGAGACAGGGGATAGATACAGGTGTGTATATCTATATATATATAGAGAGAGAGATTTGTTCTATAATTTTCATTCCTCTAGAAAACCCTGACCAATATAAATGTCAGTATCATTCCTCATTTAATAGATAAAAACTGATGTAAACAGGAAGTCGATAAGATAAGGAGAAGCAGAAACAGATGGGAGAAAATCTGTCACTCAAAACTGTTAAGGATTCTTATCCAAAGATATAATGATAGATTAAAATGTAAGCAAAATTGAGAAGTACTCTCATGGACAATTTTCTCCTCCACAAACTTGGCGATAGACAACCCTGCCTGGTTTTTATGTCGACTTGACACAAACTAGAGAACCACAGTTGAGAACGTGCCTCCATATGAGCCAGCTGTGAGGCATTTTCTTAATTAGTGATCAGTGGGGGGATAGTGCTGTCCCTGAGCTGGTAGTTCTGAGTAGTAACAGAGTACACTCAGCAAGCCATGGAGAGCAGGCCAGTAAAGAGTGCCCTTTCATTGGCTCCTGCCTCTAAGATCCTACCTTGTTTGAGTTCCTATCCTTCAGTGGTGAACAGTACTGTGGAAATGGAAGTCGAATAAACCCTTTCATCCCCAACCTGCTTTTGGTCATGGTGTTTTGTCACAGCGATAGAAACACTAAGACAAGTTGGTACAGCGTAGCAGCACCTCTGCCAACAGGGTCACCTCCACTGTGCTGCCCAAGAGAGGTTTGGGGTTCACTTTCCCAAGTGTGGCAGCTGGTGAGGGAGAGGGTCAACTCCCTGGCCCACCACAGGTGGCCGGGACAAGAGGAGAGGACATCTTCCTCTCAGCGCTACCTAAGAAATGGGGAGGGCATAACCAGATATACCACTCTGACGCCCCCAGTTCTAGCTCACCCACACCTCTGCCAACAGGGTCAGCTCAACTGTGCTGCCTAGGCAAGGAGTAGGGCCCACTTTCTGAGTGCCACAGCTGGTAAGGGCAGGGTCGGCTTGCTCATCTGTCACAGGCAGTAAGGGGCAAGGGGTAGTGGGGCTATCTCTCCCCCACCCGCATCTCCACATGAGAGAAGAGTAGTGGGGACAGCTCTCCCATGCTCACAGCTTAGGGGCTGGCTCACCCACACCTCCGCCAATACGGTTGGCTCTATTGTGCTTCCCAGCGTGCTGTGAGGTGCAGGACCTGCTCTCCTGAGTTTTGCAGCTGCTGGAGGACAAGGACACTCCTGTTCTCGTGACTCATGACGTCAGGGCCAGCTCTCCCACCAGCTTCAGCATTGATTTATTATACTTTCTTTTTAGCCATATTGTATTTTCTTTTTAGTCCAAATACAAACACTATAACACTTCCTACTATCTCCCTTCCTTCTTGCACTTAACTTCCACTACCACAATAAAAAAGGATGTATTCAGAGATGAAACTAGATCTGAAAATCTGTATTTTAGTCATTTGAAGATTCTTATGTTGTCATATTGTACCTTTTAAGTTCTTTCTCCAACATTTGTATACGGCAAATGTTTCTATCTGTTATTTGAGACAGCCGGATACATTATAATACCTCCCCCAGCTCTGTCCTTCCTGTTGTCTGACTAGCACCTGGGTAGTGAACCTCAGTGAAATACCAGATCAGAGGCAAGGCTGAGAGGACAGTGTTTTCCTGACTGTTTACCGTGTGCCTGAATGCCGGAAGGAACGTGTGCTTCGTCGCTGATGTATTTCTAGAACCACTGAATGATTCTGTTCTCACTTTTCAGAGCCACGTAAATCAGGTAACTTATACAAGAATGCTGATGAAGAGACCAATCTCCTGCACATGTCAGCCTCCGCTTTAATGAGATATTTGATTAAAGGTAAAAAATCTACTGCTATACAAACACGTGAAACAGAACTCTGTTCTTTTCCCACTGTTTCTGTATACTAGTATTTTCAACCCCTGGGCCCCTCCAGCATACTGTGAATCTTACTAGCACAGAGTGTGTTCCAGTATTTCTCCTGTAAGCAGAGCCATGCGTGGAGAGCGCTGTGGTTCTGCACGGTCACAGATCCTAGGTGTGGTCCTGCCTTATCTCTAACCCAGGAAAAGTGATGTGTTTCCTTCATGCCTCACATCCTTAGTTTTCAGCATGACATTGTGAAGTGAGAATATTTGACAGTTTTTCAATAATTCCTTCTTTAATCACCTTTACACCATTGCAATAATAGACCTAAGATGTAAGCACATTTGAGAAGCACTCTCACAGACATTTTTCCCCTTAACAAACTTTGCAATCGCCAACCTAACGAAAAAATATGATGTTCGCACCTTGACATAAGAGAAGACAGCCCCACGCTACAAAGACTTAACACTCTGTGCTCACTGTCTGACTGACGCTAGCAGCCACAGGACAGACGGAAGAAGGAAGAAAAGAGAAATGCCATTGACAAGAGGGTGAGAAAGAACCGTCCTGCGGGTGCCGCCTGTAATCCCAGCTCCTTGGGAGACTGATCCAAGAGAGTGGCAATTCACAGTCAGCCAGGGCAGCGTAGTGAGACCCTGTCTCAAAGTTGTGGAGTGCTTACCTTGCTTACAGAACGGTCAGGTTCAGTCCCTAGTCCTTGAAAAAATAGAAAAGTATACCAAATATGGACAAGGTTGTCAAGAAAATATGGAGTATCTGAGGTTGGCAGGAGTTGACATGCTCAGTGGGTAAAGCCACCTGTTGCCACACCTGACAGGTGTTAGTCCTTAGGACCCACGTGGTAGAAACAAAGGACTGGATTCCACCAGCTCTCCTCTAACGCGGGCAACTTGTATGCGGGGCACGTGGGGTCAGCCGAGCTCCAGCAGGATGGAGCAGCCTCTACGCCTGCCCTGCCATCTGCAGCAGAGGTGGCCTCATTCTCAGTCAGCCCATCTAAATTTTAAGTCTGTGGTTAGAGAGAAAGGATAATGGGCTCTTTCTGGGTGTTGAGCGGAAATGGCATGAGGGCAAATGGTTTTGGGTCTGAGAGAAAGCAGAGGCATGCTGTTCTAACAAGCACCTGCCTTGGTGAACAGAAGTGTGGACATTTTAATCTTATGCAAGAAACACATTGTGGAAAAACTTCCCCATGTAAATTTGACCAGCTAACTTTGAGATAGGACTCTCTAACAAGCCCACATTCTACATTTTATTTTAGGATTCATCCCTAAATAAAGATAAATTGAATCTGTCTTTCTTTTTAACAGTATTCCAAATATATACACTGTGCCATTTCTTATTATCTATCATCTCCATTCCTTTTCGTAACTTAATTTTCACTGTAGAAATGTCATCTAAAAGCAGAGAAATGTTTATGGAGCGATTAAGCTGTATTTGCGAATTATTTAAGTCACCTGTAGTCGTATATATTGTCGTACTGGCATCTTTTAAGTTCCTCCTCTGACATTTGCATATGATCTGTCATTTGAGACAAGGTGCAGGATATAGCAAGATTGACACTCAGTAGTAGGTTAACAGACTGGCAAGCAGATAACCATCCCCCTGCCTCAACTTCCCTAATTCTGGGAATACAGGTGCCTCTCCCATCTCTGTTCTCTGTTGCCTGATTTATACTCTAATGATGCCGTCTAAGGAAATATCAGCTACGAGGCAAGGCTGAATAGAACAGAGTCTGTGCTTGTTAACTGTTCACCTGAGTTGCTGGGAGATTATTGTGCTTCAGAAGTGGGTTTTTTTTTTCTTTTGCAGTATCATTGAATGGCATTGTTCTCACTTTTCAGAGGCATCTAAAACTAGTAGCTTAAAGAAGGAAGTAGTCAAAGGATCACGCCTTCTGCACAAATCAACCTCTTCTGTGAAGAAGCGTTTGCACAAAGGTAACAGAGTCACTGGCATACTGATGTGTGAGACAGAATTCTGCTCTTTTCCCGCTGTTTCTCTCTTCCAGTATCCTCAACACGGAGGCCCTTCCAACATCCAGCCAATACTACAAACACACAATACGTTCCTTTTTTTTCTTGTGTAAAAAGACACCTCTGTGGAGGGCTCTGTGGTTTAGCATAGTATTAAGGTGCAATGTGTTGATCCCCCTTGTCTCTAACCCAGGCAAACCAATGGCTTTCCTTCACCTCTCACGCCCTTACTTAATATTCTGCATTATATTATGAAGTGAGAGTCCTTGACACTTTCTCAATAGTTTCTTTCTATATTGCCTTTACATTTCTGTGGTTGTGACTACAATCAATGGATACCATCGGTATCATCATGCTTTTTTTTTCTGCCTCATTGTAACCATACAGTAGAAAGTGTGAGTGGGGTGGCCAGGTTCAGGACTTGTCTGTTTTTAATTCAGTAGCTACTGTGTGGAATCTCTACATATCCATTCTAGAATGATTGTGGTTAATGATTATGGCAGTAATTTCACGAGGAAACTGCTAGTTCTTAGCTCTAGACCTTTAAGGGATCCAAATGTTAAAAGATGAAATTGTATTAGTCAGTTGATGATAGCACAGAAAAAGACCTAAAGATTCTGAGAAAATCCTTGGAATCCCAAAAATAGGTTGTAGAACTAGAAAGTTCCATTCCAGGTGCTACAAATGTGGCTCAGAGGTTAAATAGCTTGCAATGAAAGAAAGAGGGGCAAAATTCAGATCCCTAAAACCCACGTAGAATGCACGGTGCACACGGCAGCCCATCTGTAATTCTAGGTTGCAGGGCAGAGACAGGATCCCCAGAGCAAGTTGGCGACTGAGATTAGCCACGTGAACCGGCTCTGCATTGGATGAATAGATCCTCCATGGAATAAGAGGGAGGAGTGACAAGAGAAGATTCTCCACAAACACCTCAGACCACCACAGACACTAGTTCACAAACACACAAATACCTACACAAAAACACGCTCAAGCACACTTAGATGCAAATCTTCCCACCCACACCTATGCGTGTAAAAAGAGAACAATGAAAAAAATCAATCTCACTCATAAGGAATCTTGAAACAAAGTCATAATAAAGTTAATTGTGAACAACCAAGAAAAAAATCACATTTCATAATTTCAGAACTTAGGACACAGTTATAGTCACAACAGAGAGGTGACATAGACCACTGATTTAGAAGAGAGAACCCATAAGTGAAGTCCCACCTATGAGGTCAGGGACACCCAGACTTTTCAGTGGGAAAAGGCAGTCCAGCACATAGGGTGCAGAAAAAACTAAATATCCCCAAACAGCAGGTTACCTGAGCCCTTAGCTTAAACTGTATACAAAAATACTTCAGCATAAATCAAAATCCTCACAAATGAAAATTAAGCTTAAAAAAAAGCTTAGAAAAAAATATTGCAGAAACCTACAGTATCGCAGATTTAGCCATATATTGTGGAGCTGATATAAGATCCTAGTTAAAAAGGGAAACTTCCAATTAGGCTTCATCAGAATCAAGTTTTTTTTTTCTTTTTTTTTTTTTTTCTTTTTTTTCCTGTTCTTTTAAAGAAGCTGTGGTAGTGGATGCTCCTTGGCTCCACTTCCTCCCAAGAACAGGCTTTGGACCATGTGTCTACTACCAGGAATGTATTGCACTTCGTGAGTTGTTTACATGGTGCGTGTCTGGATGAGACTGCCCTTTCTCTCCAGCAGACTGCGCTAGAGCGTCCAGCCCGGCTGACTTTTGCCAACAGGAAAGAGTTTCCAGCTCAGCTCTGTCTTGACACCTCTAGTTCTGATTGGTTACGAAGAGCAGTAACAGCAGCCCGCCCTGGTGGGCACCTCCCGGACCTTCCCCACCAACAATGAGATGAGATGACTATCACACTGCTCAAATGACCCAGGAAATATTGCAAAAAGGTGGCAGAAAGAACTTATGAACGGGAAGATCGGGATCTTGATGTTATGACATGGCTGCTGCAACCATAGACACGCAGAAGCTATGGATTCTAGCCAGGATTGGACCTTTCAACTGTCCTTCAAGGAAAGAGGAGTTGCCAGTTAGGCTCCGTCCAATCTCGGGAGCTGATGGCCGCAGATGTTGGCAGAGGAGGATCTTTTCTTAATACTCAGCAGTACTAAGAAAAGAAGATGACCGAAGAAACAAAGGAGAGGGGACACCAGAGGACAATAGGCAGGTGAACGCACTCATAGTTCAGTGGATGAACTTAGAAATCTTTAGAAGTAAGGAAAAAATAAATTTTGTGCATGAATAAAGTATTTTTAACTTATATTTATTTTTATTTCATGTGCATGGCTGTTTGCCTGAATGTATGTCTTTGGAAAGGTCAAATCTCCTGGAACTGGAGTTATAGACAGTTGTAAATTGCCATATGGGTGCTGGGAATTGAACCGGAGTTCTCTGGGAAGAGCAATCAGTGGTCTGAACCACGGAGCCACCTCTCCAGTCTCTGAAAATATTATTTTTATTTAATAGATAAGTATAACAGAAATAGAAGTGCAGTTGAGCAGAAAAAAAAGCTGGTCATAGGATGGGAGAAAATATGTATTTTTATGTATGGTGAGGATTCGTATTCAAAGACATGAAAATGGAAATATAAAATGCACATAAAACTGGAAAATATTATATCTAATAGCTATTTCCTTTAGACGACTCTGCAATGGCTCACTGAATATGAACATATGATGACGAGTGGTGTGAGATAAACCAGACCCAAACTGCCGGGTGCCGGGGTCAAAGGTGTGCGCCACCCCCACCCGGCTGGCAAACGATAGTTTTAATCACACATTTTTAATATTAGTCCTCATACATACACAACAGCATTTATTGTGATCTCCCTTCATTTTTACACTTTATTTCTCATTATAGAAATGTCAGCTTCTAATCCCATCACTCGGGAGGCAGAGACAGGCAAATCTCTGTGAATCTGAAGCCAGCCCGGTCTACAGAGTAAATTCCAGGGCAGGCTCAAAAGCCACAGAGAAACCCTGTCTCTAAAAACAAAGAAAGAAAAGAAAAGAAAAGAAAAGAAAAGAAAAGAAAAGAAAAGAAAAGAAAAGAAAAGAAAAGAAAAGAAAAGAGGGAAGGAGGGAGAGAGGGAGGGGAAATGTCAACTTTATTGGAAACAAAGGAAGGATTAGGATTACAAAGATATTAAATTGTGTGTGAAAATATTAGTCACTCACAGTTTTGTATACACTAGTCTTGTTAAAGTCCTTTCTATGACATTTGTATATAGCATTTATGTTCTTTTTTTTTTTTTTTGAGGTAAGGATGCTATGCATATCAAGGCTGGGCAGATACTCACCCCCACCCCCGCCTCAGTCTTTGAAGTGTTGGAACTACAGACAAGCTACACCTCTCCCAGCCTTCTTTCTACACCCGACTTATTCTATTATAGTGATGTTTGATAAGATATCAGATAACAGCCAAGGCTGCTTCAGACAGAACCTATTCCTCATTCCTGAGTGTCACACTGATTAGCTGTGTTAGTGAAAGACTTTGTTGTCATTTTTCAGACAAGTCCAAGATTAAAAACCTAGGCAAGAACGTTGGTGAAGGTACATTCATGCTGCGCACGTCCGCCACTGCTAAGAAGAAGCAAGTACTCAAAGGTAAAAAAGGGAATGCAGTCCAGATGTATGAAACAGAACTCCATTCTGGTCCCATGGTTTCTCCCCATCCGATACTGTGAGCCCCTCAAATAATCCACTAATGTTGACCCGTGATGGCCTAGGCGGGCACATTTGCATCCTTCATTCATCCCTCTTCTCTCTTCTGCACCGTGCTCCGAAAGGAGAACGTGCTGTGACTTATCCAACAGCTGCTTCTTCAGTGCCTCCTATTTGCTTATGTTTCTACAAAATAGTGTGTTGTCGGATAAGGGGCCTGGATGCTTTTAATTTTAAGAGACCGGCAGTTTATTTGTTCACTTTGTACCTGAATAGCTAAAAAAGTCAACTTGCAATACAATGAATGGCATTGTTTTCACTTTCCAGATCACTCTAAAACCAGTAATTTAGAAAAGCAGACTATTAAAGGGACAGGTATTCTGCGCAAGTCGGCCTCGAAGAAACATGTGCCCAAAGGTAAAGAAGTAGCTGGATACAGATATGTAAAACAGAACCCTGTTCTTTCCTCCCTGTTTCTATTTTCCAGTATTTGCAATCTCCAGGCCCTTCCAACATACAGGTAATGTTATAAAAGCAAGATGTGTTCCAGTGTGTTTCCTGTTGTTCTAGGCCGAGATTCCCCCTTGCCTCTAAAAATGGTAAATTGATGGGTTTCCTCCATCTCCTATACTCTTACTATTATGTGTGATGTTCTGAACTGAGAATATTTGAGACTTCTCACTAGTTCCTTTTAAAGACACCTTTATATTTCTGTGGTCATGACAACAGTCAAAGGTGCAGTCAACAAGCATCCTTGCACAGTTTTCTTCTGCCATTTTCTGTCTGTACAACAGACTGTGTGAGTGGGGTGGTTAAATTTGAGACATGTCTGCTCTTAATTCAGTAGCTACAAGATAGAATATCTATGTTCCATTCTAAAATGACTGTAATGTTTAGTGATGGCAGTAACTGCATGAGAAAACTCTTTCCTGGTTCTTAGCAGTAGAGTTTTTAGGAACTGAAACATTTAAAAGATTAAATTATACTAGTTAGTTGACAGTTGCACAAAATATGACCTACAAACCTTGGGGAAAAGAATCCCTAGAACCTCAAAGATGTAGTTGAATGTTTTCCTCTATCACATTGGTCCCCCTGGAACAGTTTCTTTCCTGCTCACGGGTCCCCGCAGCTGCTTATGAAGTAACACTCTGAGGCTTAATTATCAATTACAATTGTTTGGCTCAAGCATATTACTAACTCTCACAATTAAATTAACCCATTTCTATTCATCTGTGTATTACCGCAAGGCTGTGACTTACCAGCAGTGCTTCAGCATGTTACTCCTTCAGTGGCTATGTGGTGTCTCCCTCCCTCTGCCTTCCTTCTCTCTGCATCTTTATTTGGATTTCTTGCCTAGCTGTATTCTTCCTGGCCATTGGCTGAAACAGTTTTATTCATCAACCAATAAAAGCAATGCATATCTGCAGCATACAGAAGAACATCCCACATCACAAAGATATGTTGTAGAACTAGAAAGTTCCATTTTGGGAGATGCAGAGATTGTTCAGTAGTTAAAGGGCTTGCAATGAAAGAAAGTGGGACAGAATTCAGAATCCCAAAACTCATGTAGAATGCAGGGTGCACATGTAGAATGGCAGCTCATCTATAATTTTGTGTTACAGGGCAGAGACAGGATCTCAAGAGCAAACTGGCTACTGAGATTAGTTACACGGATTGGCTCTGGGTTGGATCAGTAGACACTGTCTTACTAAATGAGAGGAAGGAGTGAAGGAAGAAGATTCTCCACAAACATCTCAGACCACCACAAGCATATGATGACCTCACAAAAATAAATGAAAACATTCATATATGCAATAACCCCACCCCAGTTATGCACGTAAAAGATCCGTTTCAGATCCACATGGAATCGTGAACAGTGTTGTAGGTAAATTAATTCAGAACAACTGAGAACGAATCACACTTGGTAATGGCAGAGCTTATGACAGAGCTACATTAATGAAAGCAGCATGATTCTCATAAAAGGCAGGTAACAGAGACCAGTAAAACAGAGAGTAATCCCAGAGGTACAGCAATGTGATGACTAACCTCGGCTGCCAGCTGGACGGCGTCAGGAATCAGCTAAAGCCCAAGTAATTGGGATGCCTGTGAGGGTTTTTCTGACTCGTTTGAGGTGGGAAGACCCACCCTAAATCTTGCCATACCTTCGGTGGCAGGCCACGTACAAGGACGTGGAAGTTGAAACCTCTTGCTTTTCTCCTGCTTTCCCCTCATCCTCACTGGTAAATTCATCCGCCTGCAGCTGAGGCACTCCTTCATGGGTGTTAGAACCCACTTCTTCAGGAGTCCAACACACACTGAGTTCCAGCAGTCCTCTAGAACCAGGCTGGGACTTCCGGGACATCGAGCTGCAAGGACTCAACAACTTCCATAGTCTCAGCCTTTCTATCAGGAGACAGTCATTGCTGGACCAGCCAGACCACAGAATGGAAGCGGCTCTAACAAATCCTCTTTTAATAAATACACGTTCATGCTATCCACTCCTGTCTCTTTAGAGAGCCCTGACTAATAAAAAAAAATGGTGTTAGGAATCAGTTTAATAATATATCTATTTAACAGTATGGTGTTGTTATACACGTGGATCATGCAGCCTTCAAGATCATCGCCCAGAAGGCAATGGGAAGAGTGTAAGAGCCTGAGACAGCAACTGACGGCTAGGAAATATTTTCTTGTGGACACAGCAGGGCAGCTGCACATATGAACTCACAGCAGTCATGACAGCATGCACAAACCCTGTGCAAGTCCAAGTCATAGCAAATCTCAGCATGGAGCGGGGTTGAACACACAATCCCAACTGAGGCGTGGAGCTATTGGAAATTATTAGCTACTAGTTGGAGACCTGTCTTTCTCTCAGAATGTAGTCACTGGCAAGATAGCCACTCCATTGGAAAACTATGCATCCAAGAATATTTGGGCACCACAAATTGGTCTTGAAGAAATCAAAAGAAGCCGGGCGGTGGTGGCGCACGCCTTTAATCCCAGCATTCGGGAAGCAGGTAGGCAGATCTCTGTGAGTTCGAGGCCAATCTGGTCTACAGAGTGAGTTCCAGGATAGACTCCAAAGCTACACAGGAAAACCCTGTCTCAAAGGAAAAAAAAGAAGAACTCAAAAGAACCTGTGCAGCTTGTGGTGCACACCTTTAATCCCAGAGAGGCAGAGCCAAGTGGATCTCTGCAAGTCTGATGTCAGCCTACTCTACAAAATGAGTTCCAGAACAGCCAGAGCTAAACAATAGAACCCTGTTTTGGAAAAAAAAAAAAAAAACTAATTCAAAGGAAAAAGGACACAAAGTTAGGAAAACAGATTGAATCAGAGAAGGATTAGGGAAGGGACATGAATATAAACACATTGTTTGAAACTCACAAAGAACTAATAAAGAAAGTGGAAGAGAAGAAAAGGAAGGAAGGAAGGAAGGAAGGAAGGAAGGAAGGAAGGAAGGAAGGAAGGAAGGAAGGAAAGAGAAGATGGAGGAAGAAGAGGACAAGGAGGTGACCTCAGAAATAAACTCTAATCTGCATGGTCAAGTGCATCAAGGCAACTTAACGGGAAAAGGCAATCTAGCCCTTATAGTGCAGGAAGATGTAATATTCCCCAATAGAAGGATGTCTGAGCTCTTAACGTATACATAAAAATACTTCAACATAAGTCAAAATTCTTACAAGTGAATGTTAAACTACAAGATGATAGAAAATATGTAGGGGAAATGTACAGAATAATAAATATGGCTATGTATTTCATAGTTGACATAAAGCACAGCCAAAAAGGAAAACTATAGACAAATTTGGTTTCATCAGAATTAAAATTCTTGACATGTTTCTTTCACTAAAACAACAGTAGTGCAAAACCCCTTAGGCTCTACATGATTTTACTAGGAATAGGGTTTGACCATGTTTATACTGTTCATGAAGCTGTCCTCAAATGCAATCATAAGTACTTGGTTATCTCTGAAGCAACATGCCACTATTGTACCAGTAGACAAACCTTGCTGCATAGTTAGCATTATGGGTTACATGGCACACAGCTGGTTGAGAACTTTCATGAGCCCCCCGCCCCCCCGCCCAGGTAGCATGCATGGCGCTTTCGAACAGTGAACAATAGCAATTAGGGAGCAACTTTCTAGTACAGTCTTGTCTTGATATCTCTGTCCTCTGGATAAACTGCGTGGTATACTAACCAATCACGTCTCATAATCTAAGTCTGGTGGGTAACAAAAACAATGACAACAGCCTATGTTCTTTGGGAGCGGGGCTCACAGACCTCTCAGGCCCACCACCTAAGTGGGACGTTTATATTATCATACCCAAATGGACCAGGAAACATTGCTTAAGAGACGTCCCAAACAATTTAAGAGCAGATGGGAGTCATTGCCATGAATTGCTTCCATGAAGATACAACACTGCTTTTTTAACCATAAACACAGAACAGCTGTGGATTAAGCCAGCGTTGGTCCTTTGAATCATCCATCAAGAACAGAGGACTTGTCAACGAGGCCCTACCCACTCTGAGGACACTCTGACTAGCACTTTGGTGCTCTTTCATAAAATAGCAACCCTAGGCAAGGCTACTTCAGACACTGTCCACTTATGCTGATCAAAGTGCTTTAACTAAGCAACTGAGAGAGGATAACTTGAGAAATTAGTTTATTGCCAGTATGATTCAATGCTTGTGTTCCCACTTTTTTTCCAGGTCTGTTTAAGTCTACAAACATTGGCAGTAAAGGTGCTCAACTTCTAAGTAGTCTCCACACTTCAACTTCAACTACCAAGAAGAATGTGCTTAAAGGTAGGGGAGTCCCTGTCATCCAGCCCTCCCAACAAACAGTCAACATTACGATACCAGCATGTTTCCCATAAGCAGATACATGTGTGGAGGGCTTGTGGTTCTGCACAGTAATAGAATCCTGTGCGTGGATCCTTCTGGTCTCTAGCCCAGTTAAATTGGTCCGTTTCTTTCAAATCTCAAACCTTTAATTTTCTGCATGATATTCTGAAATTAGAGTATGTCATACTCCTCAGTGACTCCTTTTTATTTGATCTCTGTATTTCTATTGTTGCTAACACAGTCAAAAGTATAATAACTATTACTGCACAGTTTTTTTATACTACTGGTTTGTAGCTACCATAGAAAGTATACATGGGATTGATGTGGGATTCCCGTCTGTATGTTGTGACTATGTTTTATTACCATTGGTTAATAAAGAGGCTGCTTTGTCTTAGGGCAGGGCAGAATAGAGTTAGTGAGAAAACTAAACTGAATGCAGGGAGAAAGAAGGCAGAGTCGGGCAGACACCCATGTAGCTGCCTAAGGAGAAGGATGCCGGAACCTTACTGGTAGGCCACAGCTTTGTGGCAATACATAGATTAATAGGAAGGGGTAAATTTAAGATGTAAGAGCTAGCTAGGAGTACGCCTGAATCCCTGGCCAAACAGTGCTGTAATTAATATACTTTCTGTGTGATTATTTGGGTCTGGGCAGCTGGGAAATGAATGTGCATTCTCTGTTTACATGGGATTGTTGGATTCAGGGCACATACGCTCTTCATTCCACAGATACCATACAGGGTGTCTGCATAACCATTCTAAAATGGCTGTAGTTAGTGCCCGCGAAGTAACTGCTGGGAGAACTGTTTCCTGATTCTAGAATGGTTGTAGTTAGTAGCCACAGAAGTACCTGCTGGGAGAACTGTTTCCTGATTCTTGGCACAGCATTTTTTTTTTAATGAATTGAAAATATTAAGAAGATAAGTTACACTGGTCAACTAACTTGTAACTTGAAGAGTCTAGGGGACACCCCTGGAATTCAAAGACGTGCTGTAGAACTAGAAACATCCATTTGGGGGCCTGTGGAGATGGCTCAGCAGTTTGAGCGCTAGACAACGTCCCTCTAGGCAGCAGAGTGAGGTCAGGACTCAGATTTTTCAGTGAGAACAAGGGTGGGAATGGATGCAGTGCATCAGTGGAAAACTTACCTGACATACAAAACGCCTACTTCAAACAATCAAAAAATAGAGGAAATATTAACAAGGATGTCAATGTACAAGCAGAGGTTACATCACCTCCAGCAGGCTTGGGCAGCCTCCTGTCTACACCCCTGCCATTTGCAGCACGGTGGTCTCACATTCTCAGAAAACCCCATCTATTACAGAGAAAAGCTTCCCAGCCCTCTGCCTTTCTGTTCATGTGTCTTCTGGAGTCTGTTTCCACCTTTGTCTGTGGTCCAGTTCCTGCACCTTGTGTTCTATCCCTGCTTCTCTGCTTCCTGCATAAGCGATTCTACAGGCTAAGCTTTCCCCTGAGGCTTCTGTTTGGCTTCTTCACTTCTCATTTCCATCACTGATGGAGGAGGGTCATCTTTTATCTGTTGTTTCATTGGTTAATTAATAAAGAAACTGCCTAGGCCCATTTGATAGGCCAACCCTTAGGTGGGTGGAGTAAACAGAACAGAATGCTGGGAGAAAGAAGCTGAGTCAGGAGTCGCCACGATTCTCCCACTCCAGACAGACGCAGGTTAAGATCCTCCCTGGTAAGCCACCTCGTGGGCTACATAGATTATTAAAAATGGATTAGATCAATATGTAAGAGCTAGCCAATAAGAGGATGGAACTAATGGGCCAGGCAGTGTTTAAAAAAATACAGTTTCCGTGTAATTATGTCGGGTATAAAGCTAGCCGTGCGGGCGGCCGGGTGCCAGGAACATAGCCCTGCCGCTCCTATTACTACACATCGCCATTTCAGTTTAGGTTTTTCTCCGCCAGTAATCTCCGTTTTACGTCTTGTATTGACCGCCTCATTTTGCTTGAAATCTCTGTTTCCATTCTCTGGAAGTATACTCATGTGTTCTTTGAGTTGTTCGAAATGCTTACACCATACTTTTTAATTCCTTGGCTTGTATTCTAAGTGACTTTTCCATTGCCACCATTACTATGGGACTAGTGGTTTGTGGAGAATGCATGTTGTCTTGGTTCATCATGTTTCTGCATCTGCACTAGGGCCTGCACATTTAGTTTATTTTTCATTTCTCTTTCTTTCTTTTGGATTTTTATTTTTAAAATCCGAGTCATCTTTTTTTCCTTCAGTGGTGGTATTTGCAGTATTGAGTAGAAGACTAAGGCCCAGGAGGGTTGGGGTGGCATTTAGGTCCGGAGGCTTCATCTGGCGTCTTCCTCTAATTGTTAGGCAGAGTCCTGGGTCACCTAGTGCCTCCTACCTGGTACTTAAGCTTTCATGTGAGCTGTGAACCCCTTCACACACCTGAAGGCCTTGCCCAAAAACAAATCTGCTTCTTAACCTGGATTCATAGACACCTCTGGAGCTTCTAGAAGATGTGGAACATTGTAAGCACCAGCGGCTCTAACCTGGAATCAAATATGATTCCCATCCTAGGTCACTTTCCACTGATGGGACTGGGAAATGTGGTCCCATTTATAAGATACCTTCTAATGACCCCGCATGCTACAATTTATTTTAGCAGTTGTATTCAAATAGACATCAATCCTATTTTTTCTTTCTTCCTTTCTTTTTTTTATTACATATATGTTTTTTAAAAAGAAAACAAACTATCTTTTTTCATTTTACATTCGAATCCAAGTTCCCACTCCCTAATTGAGCCTGTTTTCATGGTCACGCTTTCAATGCCATTCACGTGTACTCACGTGTGAGTTTGTCAGTCTCTGGCTCCACTCAGCCCCTATACATTTCTTCTTGTTTCTGTTTTTTTAAATACTCTGTATTTTTATTTTAGGGCATGTATATACATGAAAGGCACCAACCAATGTGCCGTGGTGTGCCTATGGAAATCAGAACACAACACTGTGGAGTTAGTTTTCTCCTTTTACATGGATTCTGGCTAAACAAATGCAGCTTACCAAGATTTGGGAGCAAATACCTTTTCAGGCTGCGCCACTGTTATGATACCAGGCCCCGAGTGTAGCTTTCATTATGAGAATGGCTTAAAGTTTGATGTTAATTCTTTTTCTAATACTCTTGAGTGACATTGTTCTTGTGTTTCCAGGGCAACCTAAACCTACAACATTAGGCAAAAAAGGTGTTGACCGTCTAAATAATCTGGTTCCTTCAACATATGCCTCCAGTAAGGATGTCCTCAAAGGTAAAGGAGTCTCTGTAATACAGACCTGGGAGGTGATTCTCTGCCTTCCAGGTCCATGGTTTCTGTTTACCTGTACACTCAAGCATGGGCCCTTCCAATGAGTGGCCAATGTGACAAGCACAGCAGGTTTTGCACAATCTCTACCTAAAAAGATGGGGGTGTGGAGGGCTTTGTGGTTCTGTACAACAAAGGACCCTTGCATGGACCTCCCTGCTCACCACTAACCTAAGTGAGTGGATGCATTTCCCTCATCTCTCACAGCTTTGTTTTTCTGCACGATGATCTGAAAAAGGGGTGTCGTAGTTACTCAATATCTCACTTATTGAGAGACCTTTAGGTTTTTACTGTGACAGTCACAGTCAATGGAGCTGTGGTATCATTATACCCTTTTTATTACATTGTTTGTGTTGTTATCAAACACGAGGAGCTGGGATGGACTCAGAGCTCTGTTAGCCTATTGTCAGCCTGAGGACCTGAGTTAGGATCCCCAGCAGCACATACAGAGCCACACACAAAACCTACATTCCTGAAATCCCAGCCCTGGGCAGGCAGAGACAGGTGGGTTCCTGGGGCTGTTGATCAGCAAGTCTAGCCAATTTGGTGAGTTCATTGGGTGGGGAGAGACTCTTCCCAAAAGCCATGGCGGAGGACTAGAAAGATGGCTCGCTGGTTTTGCACATTTACTGTTCTTCCTCTTATAAATTCAATTCCCGGCACCCACTACTTGTAACTCCAGATCCAAGGGATTTGACATCCTCTTCTAACCTGGCAAGGTAAGAGGGACCCCAAATACACAAGTGGCATACACACACACACACACACACACACACACACACACACACACACACTACAAATGAATAATTTTAAACTAGGTTGAGGAAAACACCTGCCATCAACCTTTGGTTTTTATGGGGGTAGGGGATGCGTAGGAGGAGAGGGAGAAAGGAAAACAGGCAGTGTGACTGGGGAGGTAGCTCAGTAAATGGCTTGTAATCCTAAAACTGGAGAGGCAGAGACATGTGGACCCCTGGGGCCCGCTAATCAGTCTGTTCAACCTAATCTGTGAGTTCTGAGCCAGAGAGAACCCCTGTCTCAAAAGAAACACAGTGACTAGCACCCGCAGAATGAAACTCAGCGTTCACTGCTAACCTCATGCATGCTCACACACTTGATAGGGGAACCACTCACTGGAACATACGCAGAATAAAAACAGCCACATTCACCACTTATCAGTTAGCTAACTGCCTCATAGATTCCAGTGTGTACCTGATAAATTAGTAATTCTGCCAGTAAATACATGAAAAAAAAGACATTTTACAGAAATAGAAAAGTTCATTTTCAAATTCAGATGACCTCTCCAAAGACTATGGTGGTCAAATAATCCTGTCAATGAACCAAGTAAGAAGAGTCATGCTTCATGATCTCAGAACTGACTCCCAAGCTACAGAGGTGAAAGCATGGTGGTCCAGGCACGCAGACAGATGACACCCAGGCCAGTGAAACAAAGAAAGATCCCTTTGTGGCCAGCCACAGAGTGTGGAGAGAGCAGGGATGATGCTTGGTAAACTAGATATCCTATGGAGAAGCATGAAGTGAGGGCCCTTTTCTAAAATTATCTTCAGAACCCAACTCAGAATGAATCAAGGACCTATAAGTAAGAGCTAAACTACAAAAATACTACCAATAAAACAGAAGGAAACCCCTATTCAATACTTAATTTTCCAATGTATTTTTGGATGGACATCAAAGATCTTCCTATACAACTAAGGATAGCCTTGGACATCTGATTATCCCACGTACAGCACCTCCAAGTGCTGCCAGTACAGTAGCACGCCACCACACTGGCCATGCTGTGCCAGGAGTTCCTTCAGGGCTTCCTATGTGCTGGACTGAACCACACTCCAGCCCTATCTCTATTCTTGCATTGCATTTCCCATTGTTGGAATATCACCTTCCTTTCTAAAAATAAGTTCATTTCCATATACAGATTACTACAACCAAAAATTTACATTTTAGCCACTTATACTCATAAACAATAAACTCCTGGTTAATTATCCTACTGACATTTTGAATTTATTTGGTTTTTTTACTCCTTAAAAAAATATTGATTTTAAATGTGTATTGAGTATTTTGCATGCATGGATTGTATACATACATGCCTGTTGCCTATGGAGATCAAAAGAGGAAACTAGAGAAATAGATCATTGTGAATCACCATGTTGGACCTGGGAATCAAATCTAGGTCCTCTCAAAGACCTCCCATTGTTCTTAACCACTGAGCTATTGCTCCAGCCTCCTATCTGATTTCTGAGACAGGGTGCTGTGTTTAGGAAGGCTGGTATCATATGCCACGTGTAGGAAGGCTAGGCGGCTGGTACCCTTCTCCCTGTCTCAGCCACCTGACTGCTGGAACCAGGGCGTGCAACGACACCATAGTGAATATTCTTGATCAGCACATCAGCTCGCAGACCGAATCCATTGGTGCTGGTTACACTGCTTTATGTGGGTTACTGCTGTGCTTAGAAGGCAGCTGTGCTTTGGAGAGAGTTGAGATTTAAGTCTTTAAAAACTGAAGTTGTTTAATCGGGGGTATCATCCACTAATGTTCTCATTTTTCAGGACAGCCTAAGTCCGAAAACTCAGATGAAAAGGATTTTAAACTTCTAGATAATCCGCAACCTTCTGCCTCTGCTACAAGGAAGCATCTTCTTAAAGGTAAAGAGATAACTAAAATGCAGAAACAAGCCCTGCTTTGTGGTTCTGTTGACCAGTATCTTCCGCTGCGGGCCCTTCCAACACAGAGCTCCTGTTAACGAGCCCAGCATGGGTTCTCACGCTTCTCCTCTAAGCAGAGCCCTGTGTGGAAGGCTTTGTAGTTCCATGTAGTATAGGGATCCTGTGCATAGATCCTCCTTACTTTTACCTCAGTTAAACTGTTTAGTCTTCTTTATTTATCATGGGTCTTAGTTTTCTGTATGGTATTCCAAAGAGAAACTGTATTATGACCCTTCCCAAAGTCCTCTCTGTGAGCCACATTTTCCATTTCTGTTGCAACTGCAATCACTGGCTCAATAGATGGCTATTAATTCATTATTTTAATTTTTATTATGTATTATTAATAATTTTATTATGCTAGTTTATATCTAGAAGGTAGAGTATTTGGGTGCAATTTTTGGATTGAGGAAATACATTCTTTAAATTTTCACAGTTACTGCCATACACATTTTTAAATGATTGTAATTAGTAGCTAGGACAATAAATGCTTGAAAAACTATTTCCCCTTTTCTTAAATAGCACTAGAATGCTTTGGCATTTTTTCCATACAAAAATGATCCCATTTGAGGCTGCCTGCTCCAGTCTCTCACTCTCTGTACATCGTCATCTCCCATTGACCGCCTTCGTGCTGTGGAAAGTATGATAGGATCTTTAGCCTTTTCCGTTCCTATCAGTTCAAACTTAGAGAGAAATCACAGCCATTCTAGAAAGAATTGACACGTAGGCTTACCCAGATCCTCTCGTGGTTGTCAGCTCCTCTTGCTCTGCTTTTCCACGTGTGCAAGTCTGTCAGTCCTAACACCAGTCTGCCTGTGAACTGTAGACGAGCCACTCCCGATCTGCTCCCTAAAAACCTTGTCCACAACACAGCTCCCACAGTAGAAATCCTACCATCGGTGCAGCCCGATCTGTCATCCACAATCCCGCTCAAACTGCATGCATTGCAGTAAGGCCAACCTGAAACAGACTCATGATGTGGAGACGTGCTCACCCACTGCACACCTCAGACAGTCCAGGGATGAGAATGTGTTCACACAGAAGTCATCCGCGTGTCGCACAGGGAAAACTCGTTCATGTCACTTTGTGTCTGCCTCTTCCAGTTATGTGCTCAAAGATTCAGATTTTTGTTTTGCTTTGTTGGTTGCCTCTATTTGTTCCCTGTTTTTAAAATATCTTTTATTTATTCTTTGGCCATTTCATACATGTGTACAATCTGTCTTGATCGTATCCCCCCAAACTCCCACACATCCCCCTTCAGCAGGTCCTCTGTCTCTCTCTCTCTCTGTCTCTCTCTCTGTCTCTCTCTCTGTCTCTCTCTCTGTCTCTCTCTCTGTCTCTCTCTCTCTCTCTCTCTCTCTCTCTCTCTCTGTCTCTCTCTCTCTCTCTCTCTCTCTCTCTCTCTCTGTCTCTCTCTCTCTCTCTCTGTCTCTCTCTGTCTCTCTTGGTTTGCCTCAACCTCCAGATGGGTCTTTTGCCCTAACCAGGCAGATAGCCATTTCCTTCCTGACTCAACAACATCTCATCTCTTCATCCTTTTTTATTTGCTTGGCATCTATCTCAGGCATATTAAGTGTATGTATCTATATCAAAAGGCAAAGGGCCACACAGTTTGAGAAAGATTTCTCCAGCAGTGCTACTGTGTGTAGCCTGGGGCAGTCAGAATGCAAATCCAATGGGGAGTGGTGGCTCAAGCAGAAAAGAAGCAGACCTCGGTGAGTTTGAGGGCAGCTTGGTCTATAAAGTGAGTTCCAAGACTGCCAGGACTACAAGACCCTGTACCAAATAACCAACTAAACGAACCAACAGTGCTAGACAGCCAGTGCTCTGGGGCCCAGATTCAGCCCTCTGCCCTACCTTGAGCTTGCCTCATGCTGGTGGGGGCTGGAGATCCACTGTTCAGGGCTCACACTGCTCTCGCTTTAAAATGTCCTGGCAACGTTCCTACAGACGGTGTGCATGCAGCCTCACACTGTGCTCCATGGCCATCGCTTGACTTTGTGCATCCTGTTAGGGACCAGTATCACCATTCTCAGGCCCCCCAAGACCGAGTTGTCAGCACAAAGGAGATGTATTTGTCTCAGGGTGAATAAGAGACAAAGGAAGAAGAGGCAAAGACAGGACATAGATGGGGGCGGGGGAGAAACAAGGAAAAGGGGGAAGGTATTTGTCTCCATAGCAGGGGGAGCACACCAAAGGACTGCCTCTGGATACAGAGGAGACAGATGTGGCCCATAGGCAAATGGCAGTTTATAAAGGTAAAAGGGAAAACGCCTGTGTTAGGATGAGGTGTTTAATTTTAAATGGGCGTGTCATTAGGTGAGCCACAGGGGGCTTTAGATTGCTGGACTTTGATACTTCCTTAGCTGAATCTTGGTAGTCAGCCTCAGGAGGAGGAAGCAGCCAAATAAAGAAATAGACATTGGTGTCTATAGGAATATAATCTCACGATTTTTAGCAAGGCAGAGGGAGTGGGGGAGAAGGACAAGGCCTGGCTCTCAGAGCCTTGTTTGCCATGCTCGCTAGAGTCCCTTCATATCCTGTTGTCCTGACATCGAATATAATAACAATATTAACGAATACTGTAATGTTAAATGCCTGAATATCTTTCCTTTAGAATTAAGTACCATTCTGTGAAAGTATGCCGTACATCCATACTTGAGAGAAAGAATCTCAAGGATGAGCACCAGGAAGTTCAAGGACACGGGAGGCAAAGCACCACTGGGAACCCACGTGTGGGAAGCCTTGTGAGCAGATGTGCATATGGAACAGCAGTGCAGAAGGCCCCTGACGGACAGGGTAGGACCAGACCGTGAGAGTCCTTCAGGGGCAGCAGGTGGGTTCTTTTGTCACCTTGTTATGTTTATTCCCCTAATTTTAGTCATAATTACTTTTAAATCACAAAGAAAGAGCTGGGAACGAATGCAGCTTAGTGTTGGAGACCTTGTCTGTCACAACAGGACCCTGGGACACTGGGGAAAAAAAAATAAGAAAAAGTATTTACCCCATTCAAGCCATTCATGTTTAAACATTGCACAGTCAACTGCCAAGGATTTAAAGGGCATGGCTTCTGTCAACGTAATGCTTCTGAACATTCGAATGTTATTTTAACCACACTGTTATCTCCTAGGAAGCATAAATACTGGAAGAGACTACACTAAATCTAATCTGGACTATCACTGACAAAGCTTTTAGACTCCCTGACTATTTTGAACCTAAAAGCACCTATTTTCCCCCCGCAAGAAATAGAGCAGTGGATGGCCCAGCAGTCAAGAGTACCCACTACCATTGGAATAGCTCAGTTTGCTTCCCCATCCCCACATTGAACGGGTGTGTGTGGAGGCAGTGCATCTCAAGTCTGTCCACAAAAGAATCCACCCGGGGTGCCTTTAAAAGCTTTGGTTCTCGGGGCCGCATAGTTGGCTCAGTGATTAGGAGCAATTGTTGGTGTTGCAAGGGACCTGGGCTTGATTCTCAGCTCCCACATAGAGGCTCAACACCTTCTTGAGCACTAGGCAGAGACGTGGAGCACAGATGTGTGTGTGTAAGCAAAACAAACACATAAATAATAAAAATAAATCTAAGAGAAAAAAATGTAATTAAAAACCTTGGTTCTCTGTCCAGTTCCCAGACCAGTTTAGCCAGATTCTCTGTGTGGCACTTTAATGCGCAGCCAGAGCTGGGCACTGTGAGGTTGCTAAATTGCTGTAAGAACTCAAGCAAGCACATCAGCAAACATCTGCTTTAGTCTAAGTCTACTGCCAGCGGGGACTTAATGTCTCTCCAGAACACCCTCCACCACAGTCCAGTAAAATTCTGGGGAAGTGTGTATGCTGCCCTCTGATGTAGAACCTGTGAGTCATGTAGGAGCTCTCAGTGAGTAGCAACAGTGAGTGAAAACCGAGATGTTTAGTTTTAGGTGACTTTGTTTAAGGCCATAAGTAGCTAATCCTCTCAAAGCAGCAAGCACAGCCCGATAGTTAGCAGCGACTAAGTAATTAGCTACATAGCTGCAGAAGCAACCTCCCTACCTCTTATTTGGAGAGCAAGTCTCAAATGTCTAGATCAGTGAGCACCAGGGTAGCACAGGCAGCTGGAACCTTGCTTAGGGATTTGTGGGGTATGGACTCTGAATAGACATAGCTGAGGCAATGACCAACAAACAGGGGACACTGATTCCTCGGGTCCAGTGTATTGAGAGCTTCGTGGACAGTTCCTCATCCATACGGTAGACTGATGCTCTGGGCTCTGTTTTACCATTCAGAATGAACAGTGACTTTTAAATCTAAGATATTTGTACAATATACTGTAATTAGGTAGTGAGAATAAGATGTATTTTGGTTCCCGAAACTGCAGAAAATTGAGAGTGTCTGAAAAGCTCGTGTGTGTCCGTGTTGATCGTGATGACGGTGGCTTTCTTTTCAGAACTCCGCTCACTCTGTGAAACACTGAAACAGCTTGAAACATTGAAACAGTCTAAGACCGCCCTCTTGTGGCTGACTTCCAACTTGCGCTGCCTAGCTAAGATCCCTGCAGTACCTTCTGGCGAGGTGTAAAGGTAATTAAACGACATTTGTGCTCTGTGTGTTTGAAAGGAGTGGTTTTTTGCACGTCATCTGATTTGCAGAGCTATTCTGCGCGAGCCTGTCGAAGAAGAGACTTTCTCTGACACGTCACTTCCACGTTCAAGCACGAACGTTTCTGGTGGCGCACGCCTTTAATCCCAGCACTTGGGAGGCAGAGGCAGGTGGATCTCTGTGAGTTCGAGACCAGCTTGGTCTACAGAGCTAGTTCCAGGACAGGCTCCAAAGCCACAGAGAAACCCTGTCTCGAAAAAAAAAAAAGGAAATGAAAATATGCTACTTTCATATCTTTCACATTAAAGTCATCAGTTTGGGCTGAAGAGACAGTTCAGTCAGAAAAGGCTTTGCCTTGTAAACACAAGGACCTAACTTTGATCCCTAAAACCCATGAAAAAAAAAAAGGCCAGGTGTAGTGAGTGATTGTAAGCCCAGTACTAGGGAGGGGGAGAAACTCTCTGAAGGTCCTGGCCGGCCACTCGGGCCCAACTTGTGCACACATGCATGAGCTCACATGTGAACATGAAAGATACACACACATATACATAGATTGATTATAAAGCTTGAATCACCATTCTCCAATTTAAAAAAACCTGAAAGTTAAAAGAAATAGGAGATAGGGGAAGGCTTGGCAGATGACTTAGTAGGTAAGGCATGAGGATCTGAGTTTAGATCCTGTTTAAAAAGCTAGGCTGGAGAGAAGGCTTGGTTGTTAAGAGCACTGACTACTCTTCCGGAGGACCTGGGTTCAATTCCCAGTACCCACATGGCAGCTCACAACTGTCTGTAAATCCAGTTCCAGGGGATCTGACACCTTCACACCAGTGCACATAAAATAAAGTTAAGTAAAGCATTAAAAAATTCTTTTAAAAAAGACACAGTCTTATTTAAAAAAAAAAAAAAAAAGCTAGGCAGTATCATGGTTGAAGCATAGGGGCCTAGACAGCAGGATTTGCTGGGAGATTGTGCACCAGGATATCTAAAGTGACAAGCTTTAGATTCTGTGAGAGACCTTATCTCAAGGGAATAAGGCAGATCGTGATAGCGGAGGGAAGCTAGCACCCTCATGAGCACCTGTGTGCCCACCTGCACACATATATTCAAAAGCATTCACCACACACACACACACACACACACACACACACACATGAAAGGACACGAGAATATGTGGCCCATTTAGAGGGAAATAAAAACACAGATGGTGACCTTGGTCAGCACAGAGGTCAAAACAACCGTCTTCAAAAAACTCAAAACCAAAAGAAAATAGGTAACAAATCAAGAAAAAATGCGATGAACAAAAGGGAATTGCCAATGAAGAAAAAGGGAAGGAAACATTCATGGTCCTACACCTGACAACACAGAAGAAACGCCCCGCGGGAACCGGAAAGCCGCACCGGGCACCGCAACTCCGCTTCCATGCGAATCTGGCGCCCTCTCCTGGCCGAAAATACTCATACACATAAAAAAATTCATTATTTTATTTTTTAAAAAAGAGAACAGCTGGCCGGTGGTGGCACACGCCTTTAATCCCAGCACAGAGAGAGAGAGAGAGAGAGAGAGAGAGAGAGAGAGAGAGAGAGAGAGAGAGAGAGAGAGAGAGAGAGAGAGAGAATAAACTGGCTTTTTAAAATTATACATACCAATCCATGATCCATGTTCCCATTCCCTTCACTTACTCCCTCACCCCACCCCCATCCACTCCACACAGAGGGAAAGGTACATTGCTTTGGGGAAGGTCCAAGGTCCTCCCTACCATGTGTAGGCTGAGCAAGGTATCCATCCAAAGAGAACAGGTTCCCAAAACCCAGTACATGCAGTAGGGACAAATCCTGGTGCCTCTGCCAGTGGCCCCGCAGCCTGCCCCAGCCATGCAACTTTCACTCACATTCAGAAGAACTAGTTTGGACCTATGCTGGTTCCTTCCCAGTCCAGCTGGAGCTGGTGAACTCCCATTAGCTCAGGTAGACTGTTTCAGTGGGTGTCCCCATCATGGTCTTGACCTCTTTGCTCATATTCTCACTCCTTCCACTCTTCAACTGGACTTTGGGAGCTCAGTGCAGTGCTCTGATGTGGGTCTCTGCCTGGTGACATTTAAGACATTGATCAGTCTGACTACAGGGCAAGGCCAGTTCGGGCCCCCTCTCCTCTATTGCTTAGGGTCTTAGCTGAGGTCATCCTTGTGGGTTCCTGCGAAGTTCTCCGAGAGTCAAGTTTCTTGCTAGCCCCATAATGGCTCCCTCAATCAAGGTATGTCTTTCCTTGCTCTTACTCTCTGTCCTTCCTCCAACTCGACTATCCCACTATCCCATTCCCTCGAGTTCTCCTCCCCCCTTCTTCCCTCCTCATTCCCTTTCAGCCTCCCATCCCCCCCCATCCCCATGATCCTAGTTTTGTCAGGTGACCTTGTATATTTTGACTTTCCAGGTGGATCTGTATGTTTTTCTAAGGGTTCACCTAAAAAATTTTTTTAAGAGAAAAAAAAAGTTGGCTATAGACTTCAATAGGCATTGCTATAATCCACAGGGGTGGTATTGTGTTATACCAGACTGAAGAGATTCAATTTGATTTTTATTAACCCCGCTTTTCTCTGCCCCACCTACAGAACCACCGTCATTTGTAAGCAGCGAAATTCCCACTGGCCGTTCTCTGGCTCCTGGGCTCCACCCCTCTTACTGGCTACACCCAAGATTAGGCCTCCACCCTGGAGCACCTCCTCCTCCTCCTTCTCCTCCTCCTCAGGAAATCACAGCCTGTGCCTAAAACTCAATGTGTGTTCCTTCCTCCTGGACCAGTTGTCCATTAGGTGCCCTCTGCTGCCAGAGCCTTACACTCCACAGCCCGCAATGGCTTCCTTCATCCTCCAGACAAGTGGCTAGGCAAACTGCTTTTGAAGCCGCTGGAGGCGCGCACTGACCCTGACGAATCCTGTGCCCTTGAACCTGCCCTCCTACTCACTGGCTACTTCAATATGGCGCCAATATGTAGCCGTGAAATTGACCATCAGTTGGTGGTATTCTGCTCAACGTTTAATGATACAGTGTAAGCGTCCCTTGTGCCCGGGAGGATGGCAGATACCTTGCTTTATGTAAATGTTAGTGCTATTTATCATTCCGAGAGATGCAATGAACTGAGAGTAAAAAAACTGGTGTTTTATAGTAAATTACTGATCACGACAATCTCTTCGCGACGTGAATCTTCCCACTTTGGTCTGTTTCAGGGAGAGCTGCGAAGGCATTTCTGCTGTATAAATCTCCCATTTGTCCAAAATGACCCAACTTGCAGTTTCTGTCAATGTAGAACCTGCTTAGTTGCTCAAGTGGCAGCCTGGGGCCAGGAGCTAAAGGAATTTGACAAATGATATCATATGTGAAAAGTTAAAGCCGAAGATCTTGCTAAAAAGCTGCAGATGATTTCTGTGTGAGTTCAGTTCCTCTTTGAGCACTAGCAAGGACCGGCAAGTTATTAAAGAGATTTACCCTGGTATTGTAGAGTACATCCTCATGGGGAAAGGGGCTTTATCTGGCTGCCTCACTTCCACATGAAATCTCTATGGGGTTACATTAAATTGCTTGATTAAATTGGGAGATAAGCGTTGAAATTACCTGGCGCAAGTAAGAAGGAACCACAAAACACGCAACAAACCGGCTTAGGAGTTTATTACAGGGGCTTGTACAGGCCTGGGGAATTGGTGTGCAAAGACAGGGAGAGAAAGATGGTCCGGCCAGCTTTTTAAAAGCTGCCAAGCGCATGTGCACAGGTGGTTGATGTGACTGTGGCAGAAGCAGGTGACAGTGCTCACGCATGCGCACAAGGGCTTTAGCAGAGTCCCCTGTGGATGTAACCACACAGGCGCGTGAGGGCTTAGCAGAGTCAGAACAGGGATTGTGGCTCCCCGACCTTTAACATCCCCGGGGGCCATTAGGCATTTCTGCCTGAGGGCTTGTCTGTACCCGTAGGACCCCTAGAACCGGGAAGTATCAGCCTTAAGTGGTTGAAATCGTCACAAGCATGACCTTCACTTGTCCTTGCTGTTAGATTTTAGGGAAGGGAGAAAAAGTTCAAGAGAAGGGTACTGAGTTAAGCCGTCCTTCCAGCAACAGAGGAACTGCCGCAGCAGACAGATGATGGAGGATGTTATGGTTTTCTGTCTCTTTAAGAGACAAGCCACGCCCACTCCCTCCCCAGCCACCGAGGCAGGCTGATCTTCAGCTTCCGGCCTGACCTCGCTCTCTTTCCTGTCTTCCTCTCGGAGAGGCAGCTTCGCTTCTGCCTCTCTCCCCACTTCTCTGCCCCCCGCCCCATTTCTCTTCTCTCCTCCTCCTCCTCCTCCTCCTCCTCCTCCTCCCCCCCCCCCCTCCCCCCCGCTGCCCGTCCACACCCGCCGCGAGCTGTCTCTCCAGCTCGCCCGCTTGGGACCCGCCACGACCTGTCTGCCCGGGGATCTTGGGCGACCCGCTCTGGGACCCGCAGCAGCCTCTGCCTTGGGACTGGCTGCTCGCAGAGTCCACTGCCTGCCTACAGCTGCCGCCTGGGACTTCATAGCATTTAGAAAAAGAACAACAGAGGACTTAAGGATTCAGGCAAGACAAGGTATCAACTTGGAAGTTTCTTTTTTTATTATAACTTAGTTAACATCTTTTCACTTATTTACTTTATATTCCGACCAATTTTCCCTCCTCCTTCTCCTCCAGTTCCCTCCCCACCCCGTGTACACCTCCCCTCACCATCCACTCCTCCTCCATCTCCATTCAGAAAAGGACTGGCTTCCTTCCCACGGTCTTAAGACAAAGCCTGGCACTTCAAACTGAGGCAGGGGGAACGGGTTCCTAAAGCCAGCTAAGCACCAGGGACGGGCCCTGATCTCACTGCTAGGAGCCTGAGATCGACAGTTAATAAATGGGACCTCCTGAAACCCAAAAGCTTCTGTAAGGCAAAGGACACTGTCAATAAGACAAAATGATAGTCTACAGAATTGGAAAAGATCTTCACCCACCC